ACAGGTTCTATTGGAGATTCCATCGTCGATATGTTTCTCCGTTTCAAAAATCCTCTTGAATGTGCCTAGTTTCTTCTTCCTCTTGTTCTACTTTGCGGACAAAGGGAGGACCCTTTTTCTTCTGCGGACATTCCCGAGCACGGTGTCTGATCTGGTGGCAAGTGAAGCACTTTCCAACACGCATGTGTTCTTGGTGACTCTCATCCGTAAGTCGATCAATCACCATGGCATCACGATCCCTTGTGGGTACAAATCTTTGATCCCCAAATCTTTTCTTCTTCTGTTGTATAGGGAAGCGGGATCTGATGGATTGTAACTGTGTGTGGCAGTTATCGATGTCGACTACTGCGGCGATGTAGTCATCGAAGTTCTTTGGGACGTTTCCAGCATTGAACATCTTGATAAGGATTCCTATATTGAGTCCTTGTTGGAAGTGAAAGATTTTGGCGGTTTCTTCCTTGACTTTTGCCTGAGCGATCAACCTCTGATAATCGGCGATATAAGTCTGAAGATCTCCGGTTTGTTTGAGAGCTCCCAGCTTGGTCATTGCTGTTCCGGAAGGATCGATGGCGGAGAATGCTTTATTGAAAGCTTCTAAGAAATCTTTCATGGTACCATATCCTTTCTTTTGTCCGGAGGAGTCAATGAATTGAGCGTCTTCCAGAAATTCTTCTTTCCATAATCTGGCATTTCCTTCGTTCATAAACGACATGATGAAAATGATGCGATGTTTGTCTTCTTTGTAGAGTTTATCGTTGATATCCATGTAAGCGTTACAGGATAGGAGAAATGATCTAGACAGATCCCTATCTCCATTGAATATGGGAGGGTGGTTTATCTTGTATTCGAATTCTTTGCCGCTGCTAGTGTTTGATGTCGACATATTGAGCGGGGGTACTAAAGTACCAAGGTTCAAGGCCTGTAGTCTTGGGGTGAGTGATGTCAGGTCTGCTGTCTGTGCTGGCTGTCTTGCTCAGCAGTTCTTCTTGTTTTCGGTTTGTCTTCTTTGTTCTGTTGGTTTCGGACACACACAGATGTGTGGTGTCTTTCGACTTGAATCTTTTGTTACGAACTAGGATAGTTCTAACAACGACAACTCGACAGAGTTTTCGGTCGTTGAGATTCTCAGTCTCTCAGACAAGAGAGAGTTCGGTGGACTTAGTCAAAGGAGTGCTTTGATTAAGAATCGGGTTTCAAGACGACTTAAGATTGGAGGTCTTAAGCGAAGGATGTTCCAGGTAAAACCTAGTAAGATTCAAGTGAAGAATACAAGCGTAATACATGTGCTTAAATAGGTCAAATATGTGCGCACAGACCAAGTCATCGTGAGATAGTAAGTACAAGGTCAAGAAAGGAAGGCATATCGTAAGAATGTAAAAGTATGAGATAACGATTGTAACAGCAAGGACTCAATCTATAGGAGGAGCCCGCTACTATATCTCCTTCGTGGACGATTGTTCCAGGAAATGTACCGTTGAATTTCTGAAACACAAAAATGAGGCATCATCAAAGGTAAAGCAATATATCGCTTACCTTGAAAGACAACGAACCGAATCACCCAAGACAATTAGGGTAGATAACGGTACTGAATATATAAATAATGAGCTGATAACATGGTGTAAAGAGAAGGGAATAGACTTACAAACAACAGCGCCCTATTCACCACAGCAAAACGGAGTATCAGAAAGACAGAATCGAACGCTAACAGAATTAGCGAGAGCGATGATAACTGAAAGAGAGTTACCAGAGTTCCTATGGGCAGAAGCGGTTGCACACGCCGCATATGTAAGAAATCGGGCACCAACCTGAGCATTAGATCATTCAACCCCTGAAGAAGTATGGAGTGGTAAGAAACCTGACGTGTCATACTTACAAGAATTCGGCATACCTGTATATGTTCTCCAGGAGAACGCCAACCAAGCTAAGATGCAGCCTAGGTCCATAAAACAAGTCTTTGTCAGCTTTGTGGATGGACCGAAGGCAATACATTACTATGACGCCCGAACACGTCAGATACGAGTGAGTAGAAACTACAAGTTTATAAACTCACCAGAAAAGATCCCAGAAAGCGCTAATGATGTACAGCACGAGGGGGAGATTGATATGGGGGAGATAGATGCGCAGACATCAGGGGGAGCTGACATGCAATCACCTATACAAGAACACTCCGTAAATGAACAGCATAGAGATATATGAGAACACTTACAAGAAAAGAGCTCAAATGAGCGTATATCCGCAGATAATAAGCGGAAAGAGCCACCAGAGACAAATGAGCTGCCCAGAAGAACCAAGAGACAACCAGTTAAAAAAGATTACCGAAAAATGAATGAACCAGACTTACCGGACTTTGATAATGACGAAGATGATAGATCTAAGTCGTATGAAGTTAGAGACAGTAAACTACCATTGCCAGAACTTACAGAAGAAGACATAGTCTTGATTGCGATGGTAGAAGGAGGACACATTGACCCTAATGAGCCAAAGAATCTAAGAGAAGCACAGGCGTCAATAGATTGGCCAAAATGGGAAGAAGCGATACGAGCAGAACTTACCCAGTTAAACGAAATGGGCACTTGGGAGTTGGTAGAACCACCCGAGAACAGGACGCTCGTAGGAAACAAATGGGTCCTAGTTAAGAAAACAAATAAAGAAGGTGAAATCATTAAGTATAAAGCAAGGTTAGTAGCGAAAGGGTACTCACAAATTCCTGGTATGGATTATACAGATACCTTTGCACCGGTAGTACATCTTGAGTCGATACGATCGACGATGTCTGTTGCAGCGGCCCTAAATTGGGAAGTTGAGCAGATGGACGTGAAAGGAGCATATTTAAACAGCACCTTAACAGAGGAGGTGTACATGGTCCAACCGGAAGGATATGATGACGGTACCAGAAGAGTGTGTCGACTTCGAAAAACCTTGTATGGATTAAAACAATCTGGACGTGAGTGGAACATTGAGTTAAATAGTCGTCTAACGAAGATAGGATTTAAACGTACCAAGTCGGATCCATGCGTCTATATAAGACAGACCGAGACAGGCACACAGATTATAACAGTATGGGTAGACAATCTACTCCTGTTTGCAAATAGTGTCAATCTTATGAGTCAATTAAAGACGCAGCTAAAAGAGATATTGGACGTTACGGACCTGGGAGAACCTAAAAAGATAGTAGGAATTGAAATAACAAGAGACCGTGCCGAGAAAACAATTAAGTTATCTCAAGCACGGTACATAGATTCAATCCTACGAAAATATGGACTCCAGGACTGCAACGCAGTAGGTATGCCCATGGATCTGAAAATTGTATTAGAAAAGGAGGATACCGACACAAAAGGCGAACGAAGTAATAGTTACGCCTCGTTAGTCGGATCTTTAATGTATCTTGCAGTGGCGACACGTCCCAACATCGCGTATGCGATACAAAGGCTAAGCTCTTTTGCTGCAAATCCTGGACTAACACATTGGTCAGCGGCAAAACAGGTATTAAGATATCTAGCTGGGACGAAAAACCTTGGAATTAAGTATCGAGGAAACGATTCCACGAACGCCAAAGTCAAATTTGAGGGATGGACAGACGCAGACTATGCTAATGACGTTCGCGATAGAGTCTCAATATCAGGATATGTCTTCAAACTTAGTGAAGGAGCCATTACTTGGAGCTCCAAGAAACAAAACGCCGTTTCGCTATCCTCAACGGAGGCAGAATATGCAGCGATGGCGTATGGAGCAAAGGAAGCAGTGTGGCTCCGATATTTGTTCGAAGATTTGAAATTGGCCCAAGAAGGACCAACAATCCTATATGGAGACAATATGGCAGCGTTAGCAATAGCACGAGACCCTCAATATCACGCGAAATCAAAACACTTTGATATAAAGAATCATTACATCAGAAGTAAGATTCGCGAGAAAATAATACAAGAAGTATACTGTCCTACAGAAAGGATGATAGCAGATGTACTCACTAAACCGCTAGCTAAACCGTCGCATCAGAGACTCTCCAACATGATGGGCATGTCTCCAGATTGAGGGGGAGTGTTGTGACATCAGTATAGACGTTGCAATCAGCCGACATGGCTCGTGCACTGCTTAGCGGAGTTACGAGAGCATCTGAGTGGCGGAGTAAATAGTTAGTATAATAGAATATCGGAATCGGCCGAATATATTCTGCGCGCCACGAACTCCTATTATCGTCGCTGTTCCTACTAAGCCCGGAACCTGAATCATAAGAATTGGTGCATGAGGAGCATATCGATTCGGCCTCGTTCCTCCGCCAGCTGACATGCTCGGAGTCCCCATCATAGGTCCTATGTAAGCTGACAGGCATTGAGCCGCGTTGCAGGACCTATATAGTAGATCTGCCACAAGTCAGTCACTTGCATGAAAATTCGGCATTGCCCGAGGTCTACCGGCGTGACCTTGCGAGCAAGCTGTCACTATTCGCCGTATAAACATTCACACTGCACACCAGCCCGATAGGCTGACCCTGACCTTGGTATCTTCTCGAGCGCCTCAGTGAAGGGTATTAGTATCGCGCGCCAAGAACTCAGGGTACAATCGTAATATTATTAGGTTCGTTATCATTATGGCGCTGCTTAGTCTCCTCTAACCACAACTTTGGGGACGAAGAATGGTGTCTGATCCTTCCAATAAAGATCTTTTCTGATGGCAGTGAGCGCTCCCTGTCACTTTAGTTAGTCTCCCATGTGCCGAATATCACAGGGTATGAGGAATGCGTTCAATCGTAGCAAATAAGGCTAGGAACTATCATATCAAATGCTTGACCTGTCACTGCGGCCTATGAAATCTACTGCCCCTAGCGCGCGCCGTGGGTTAGCACAGGTCCTCAGCAAGCTCTATCCATATATAAGTATATGTGCTGGCTACTTTCGCAATCTGCTTCGGTGACAGCCTCGGCATCATCTCTCTCGCAGCATCAAATTGTCAGTAGCATTTTGCTCGACCGTTAAAGCGGCAAAGGACATAATTTACCAGTACTAATGGTTGATAACAGGAACAATCTGTGAGTGAGGTTTTTTGACCCAAAAACCGTATTCTAATGGCTCACTTCTACTAGTAATCGGACGGACATTCCACGACCTCCTCCTCTATCAACACGTCACCTGTCTGAAGAATCTCAACGACAAAGTGTGCTATCCGAAGAGTATCAACAACAAAGCACATCTCCCTATGAGTACATCACGCGATTAACATGGATAATCAATGGCTAACTAATTGCCAACATTAGAACGCAGGACCTTTTGCGGCAAATTCTTGAGACGCTACAGGACTCAAGTATCGCGCAAAAAGGAGACAAGGACGTACGGAGCAGGTTCTGGGTGACTTACGACAAAGTTGCCAAAGAGCACGATGACGAGTTCTTAGAGCGGAACAACAGTGATATGGACATCGTGCTCATTTTCGTAAGCTATCGAATTCTTCGATTCGTTCATCTGACTGAGAGAACATCGTAGTCTGGTCTCTTCTCTGCTATCAATACAGCTTTTATCATTACCATGCAACCCGATTCCGCGACCACTGTCTTCATTCAAAATACCTCCCCAAATATTACCGTCTCATCTTCCACCGGATCAGACGCAAAGTCGCCCAACGGTACTTGGTTTCAGGGTTTGGCATATGTTGCATTGTCGTTCAGCCTTCTGGCTGCTTTCGGTGCTGTACTCGGCAAGCAGTGGCTCAGCCATTATAAATCGAACAATATCCGTGGTTCCCTCGAAGAACGCGGAAAGCACAGACAGCACAAGTTAGATGGGTTGGAAGCATGGCAGTTTCATGCTATGCTGCAATCGTTTCCCGTTTTACTCTAAATCTCGCTCCTTTTATTTGGAGTTGCTATTTCAGCTTTCGTATGGTCTCGGCAGGGAAAATTAGCCATCGCTGTCATTGTGTCGATGGCGTTCGGCGTGTTTTTTTACTGGTTTATCATCATCGTCTCCTTAAAATCTTCACAGTGTCCTTTCCAAACTCCTATTTCAGCAGTCATCCGCATGCTCTACAGACGCGCATCCACGTACATCAAAGACTGGCATATGCATAGAAATGGCGAAGTGTCATCACAGCATGATCCCGGAGAGCCCGAAGAGCCGCTCTCCGATGTACCGTCTATGAAGTGGATATTCGAATCCTTCACAGATCCAGAAGTGATTAGTTCGGTCGCTTGGCTGGTGCCTTCCATCCAATGGACCCCCGAATTGCTTCCCGAACTGCACATGCAAACTATATGCTCGCGCTTGCTGAGCACATTCAAAGCGTGCCTTGCTACTGGAGTCCGGACCTTTTCGGCACGCCGAAGAGCCCTTGCGTGCGGAAGAGCCTTGCATCATGTAGCGTGTGATGAAAGTATACGGAACTATACTTCCTCTAATGTTATGCACTCTGATACATGGTCGTTGGATATGTGGTCTCATTGGCAAGACCTCAGTCTTCCCTGGGGACTTGATGACTGCAAATCATCTTTCCACCAGTACGCCACAACTTTAGATGAAGTTCACGAAAGTGATGCACGTGATGCTTTGCGCCTCACTATCGTGACTGGTTGCCCAGGATTTTTGCAGCCAACCGATACTGCATTGATCTGGGATGGTGTTTTCGACTGGAAGGACGACCCGCGTAATACACAAGACTTTGATTGGCTCGTGGACTTCCTGGTACACTTCCGGAAGTCTGCAGCGAGGAACTTCGATGCCATGGGAGACGCGCTGCTCGCATTGAGTGCCATGCGGGATCTGGGAAGTGACACCAGACGAGACAATTACCTTGACGCCATCATCTTCGCCATGGAAGCGGATAAACCATCCCGACTTCGCCATGCAGCCCTTCGAGCTGTATTCGATGCTCGTTTTAAACTAGTGGAGATAGTTGACGAGGAGGAGGGAGAATTTCGGGAGAAGTTGTTAGGGGAACTTGCGCCAGCTCTGTTTATTGCAACCAAACCTGTCGCGCCACAGCGACTTGATGATGAACCGGACGCTGTCTTCAATCCCAGACGTGACGACTGCTATCTACGACTAATCTTCACTCTGGCAAAGCAAAGTGATTGGCGTACTCACTTAGAGAAAGCCGGTCACATAGAGCGATGCACATCTCTGCTAGACCACATCATCAAGAACAATCCATCAATATTATCTGTCACATCTCATTCTTACTATCTTGCAGCCATATTGATACGGATGAACCCCTCGGGGGGTTATCGAAGCTCGCTGAGGGGGGCTACTCTGGCCTCTGCTCCGGACTCTGAACCTACGAACGAGGAAGAATGTCGTCCCACTCCAAACCTTGTAGCCACACTGCCCGCAGCCCCAGAGGCTCCTACTTCACCGGGCTTTCCGGACAATATATCTGAACAGGAATGGTGGAAGCTACTCAAAAGAGCATGGTGGGCGATGCGTTGGAATGACCTCCACCTTGAGGCAGAAGCAGTTGAGGCACTACCCAGCATTGTCACGTACACTCTCGATCTCCTGGAAACCCCGAGTGCTCGATATGATGCGGGGAGTCTCGTTCGATTGGTAGATCGGATATACGAGGCGCTCGATGATGATGAAGCGAAGTTGGCAGTTAAACGCCTACAGGATGCGCTGGGAAATAGGGCAGCATAGTTCAAAGAGTTAGTAGAGTCAGACGATGTACAGTATCACTCCTATGCAGACCAAATGGCAAGCATATCCTTGTTGTAATTATATCACTTGATGCAGACGATTAGCTGAAGAGTTGGTCGTTCCTTTTGAAATCCAGGTCAGCTCTCGCGGTCGTGCGCGGAAAAAGTGGTGCATGATAAGTACTAGATATTCGTTCGACATGCAGACATTTGAGTGATTCATTGGCGTGGTCGCTGTGTTTTTATAGTTTCATCCATTCAGATTGACAAGTACGTTCTAAAACAATTGGAGTGCCCCACCAGGCAACGCGGGGAGTACGTGTCAGTCCCATAAGCAGCGCTACTACATACACATGCCTCGTCCCATAAAGAGAAAAACGCACATGACGAAACACGTCCAACATAGGGTCAATGACCCCAAAGGACTAAATCTGATGCAAAAAAAAAAAAAAACAATTGGAGTACGCCATAACATCATTATATTTCCTCAATAAGTACAGCGCTCCCTCGGTATGATTCGAAGAGGGTAGTGACACACCAGTAGACCGTACCCTGGCGTCTGGCGTGTATATGCGTTAGAAGAGACCAATTGCAATCATTTGTCCATCGCTTATTTTTGGTGGGGTTCCAGACGGTAGAGAGTGTTTTGACTGGAGTTAGGAAATTGGTTGCGCGCAAGTCACCGCTAGCGACTAATCTTGTAGTGGTGTCCGGATCCTCGGTGCGAAGATATTTCACATACTCGAGTATTATATATTACACGGACAGATAATACAGAAACGACAGTGACGACCCGAGGAATGGAAAATTGATAAGTATCAGTGAGAATATGACGCGCAAATCTATGGATGAATGAGTGTTGTTTTGTTGTTTAGCTTGAAAAAAAAACCCCTTGCCATGGCTGTAATCCAGCCTGCCAGTTTGCAGGGTGCGCAGAAATGTGTGTACAAATACGCACCATCATGTGCCCGTAATTCACGCTGTAGCTCGTCCAGTATATGATGGGATTTCGGCGAAGGATAGCAGTGAGAAAGGCAATGTCGTCGATACTGAGGCCTGAGGCCTGAGGTTGCGACACTTGCCATGAGATGCAATGCTCATTGCTGGTAGTCCGAGTCAAAAGCACATAAATATGCAACAAGTCACTCATGAAAATTCGGCATTACCCGAGGTCTACCTTACTCATTGCACATGACCTTGCGAGCAAGGTGACTATTCGTTGTATAAACTAGTTTTCTTCGCACTGCACACAAGCCTGATGACCTTGGTATCTTCTCGAGCGTCACCTCAGGTGAGGCATATTAGTATCGCGCGCTAAGAACTGAGGTACCGTCGTACATTATTAGGTTCGTTATCATTACGGCGCTACTATGTAGTCTCCTTGAACCACAACTTTGGAACGAAGGAAGACATCTGATGCTTCCAATAAGGGTCCATTTATGATGGCAGTGGGCGCTTCCTGTCAGGTTAGTCAGTCTCCCGTGTGCCGAATGCCACAGGGTGATGAGGAATGTACCCGATAGTAGCAAATAAAGCTAGGACGAGTGCTTGGCCTGTCACTGCGGCTTATGAATTCTACCGCTCCTACTAGCGCGTGGCGTGAATTAGCGCAGGTGTAACAAGCTCTACCCATATATAAGTATATGTGCTGGCTACTTTTGCCACAATCTGCTTTGGTGACGGCCTCTACAACATCTCTCTCGCGGTATCTGATTATCGATATTCCCCTGCCAGTGCTTGGTCGTTACAACAATAAAGGGCATAATTCTTCAGTACCAATGGTTGATAACAGGAACAATTTGTGAGTGAGGTGTTTAATCCAAAAGCCGTCCTCTAACGGAGTCGAGTGGCTCATCTACTAGTAACTGGAAGGACATTCCGCGACCTCCTGCTTTATTAACACAGATATCTCAAGAATCTCAACGACAAAACATAAACGACGGGTACATCATACGATTCACGTGGATAATCAATAGCTAATCAATTTACAACATTAGACCGCAGGAACTTTTGCGGCAAATCCTTGAGACGCTACAGGACTCAAGTATCGCAGAAAAAGGAGACAAGGACGAACGGAGCAGGTTCTGGGCGACTTACGACCAAGTTTCCAAAGAGCATGATGGCGAGTTCTTAGAGCGAAACAACAGTGATATGGACATCGTGCTCATTTTCGTAAGCTATCGAATTCTTTTGATGTGTTCGTCTGACTGAGAGAACATCGTAGTCTGGTCTCTTCTCTGCTATCAATACAGCTTTTATCATTGCCATGCAACCTAACTCCACGACCACCGTGTTCGTTCAAAATACCTCCCCAAATATCACCGTCTCATCTTCCACCGGATCAGACACCAAATCGCCCAACGGCACTTGGTTTCAGGGTTTGGCATATGTTGCATTGTCGTTCAGCCTTCTGGCTGCTTTTGGTGCCGTGCTCGGCAAGCAGTGGCTCAGCCATTATAAATCGAACAATATTCGTGGTTCCCTTGAGGAACGTGGAAAGCACAGACAACAAAAGTTAGATGGGTTGGAAGCATGGCATTTTCATGCTGTACTGCAATCGTTTCCCGTTTTACTGCAATTCTCCCTCCTTTTATTTGGAATCGCTATCTCAGCCGTCGTATGGTCTCAGCAGGGAAAATTAGCCATCGCTGTCATCGTGTCAATGGCGTTCGGCGTGTTTTTTTATTGGTTCATCATCGTCGCCTCCTTACGATCTCCAGAGTGTCCTTTCCAAACTCCTATTTCAGCAATCATCCGCATGCTCTACAGGCTCGTATACAAATACGTCAAGGACTGGCGTGGCAAGGTGTCACCATCACCTGATGCCGGAGAGCTTGATACTGGAGAGCTTGAGGAGACGCTCTCCGAGGTACCATCGATGAAGTGGATATTTGAATCATCCACAGATCCAGAGGTGATCAGTTCAGTCGCTTGGCTGATGCCTTCCGTCAAATGGACCCCCGAACTGCACCCCGAACTGCACATGCGAACTATATCCTTGCGCTTGCTGAGCACATTCAAATCGTGCTTTAGTGCTGGTGTCCGGACCTTTTCGGCACGCCGAAGAGCTCTCGCGTGCGGGAGAGCCTTGCATCACGTAGTATGTGATAAAAATATACAGAAATACATTTCCTCCAAAGTCAAGGAATTTGATGGGGGCCCGTTGGAAATGTGGTCTCACTGGCAAGGCCTCAATCTTCCCTGGGGACTTGAGAGGTGTAAAGAGATTTTTGACCAGTACACCACAACTCTAGGTGAAGGTCATGATATTGAAGCACGCGATGCCTTGCGCCTCGCTATTGTGACTGGCTGCCCAGGATTTTTGCAGCCAACCGACGTTGCATTGATCTGGGATGGTGTTTTCGACTGGAAGGAGGACTCGCGTACCACAGACGACTTTGATTGGCTCGTGGACTTTCTGGTACACTTCCGGAAGTCCGAAACAAGGGATTTCGATGCCATGGGAGATGCACTGCTCGCATTGAGTGCCATGCGGGATCTGGGAAGTGACACCAGACGAGACAATTACCTTGACGCCATCATCTTCGCCATGGAAGCAGATAAACCATCTCGGCTTCGTCACACGGCCCTTCGAGCTATGTTTGATGCCCGTTTTAAACTAGTGGAGATAGTTGAGAAGGAGAATGGAGAATTTCGGGAGAAGTTATTAAAGGAGCTTGCACCAGCTCTCTTCACCACAACCAAACCTATTGCGCCACAGCGCTCTGACGATGATCCAGACACTGTCTTTAATCCCAGACGTGACGACTGCTATCTACGACTAATTCTCACTCTGGCAAAGCAAAGTGATTGGCGTGCTCATTTAGTGACAGCCGGTCACATAGAGCGATGCACATCTCTGCTAGACCACGTCATCATGAACTCGACGTTGTCTGTCACAACTCATTCTTACTATCTTGCAGCCATCTTGATACGGATGAACCCCTCGGGGGTTTATCGAAGCTCGTTGGGGCGGGCTACCCTGACCTCTGCTCTGGATTCTAAACCTACGAACAAGGAAGAATGTCGTCCTACTACAAACCTTGCAGCCATCCTCCCCGCAACCCCAGAGGTTCCTGCTCCACCGGGCTTTCCGGACAATGTATCCGAGAAGGAATGGTGGGATCTGCTCAAAGGAGCATGGTGGGCGATGCGTTGGAATGACCTCTACCTTGAGACAGAAGCAGCTGAAGCACTACCTGGCATTGTCACATACACTCTCGATCTCCTGGAAACACCGAGCGCTCGATATGATGCGGGGGGCCTCGTTCGATTGGTGGATCGGATATACGAGATGCTCGATAAAGATGAAGCGAGGTTGGAAGTCAAACGCCTAAAAGACGAAGCGAAGTTGCAAGTTAAACGCCTACAGGATGCGCTGGGAAATATGACAACATAGTTCATCACACGCAAGCTGAATATCAGTTAGAGTCAGGCGATGTACAGTATCATCCTATGCAGACCAAATGGCAAGCATATCCTTGTTGTAATTATATCACTTGATGCAGACGATTGGTTGAAGAGTTGGTCGTTCCTTTCGAAATCTGGGTCAGCTCTCGCGATCGTGCGCGGAAAAAGTGGTGCATGATAAGTACTAGATATTCGTTCGACATGCAGACATTTGAGTGATCCATTGGCGTGGTCGCTGTGTTTTTATAGTTTTATCCATTTAGATTGACAAGTACGTTCTAAAACAATCGGAGTACGCCATAACATCATTATATTTCCTCAATAAGTACAGCGCTCCCTCGGTATGATTCGAAGAGGGTAGTGACACACCAGTAGACCGTACCCTGGCGTCTGGCGTGTATATGCGTTAGAAGAGACCAATTGCAATCATTTGTCCATCGCTTATTTTTGGTGGGGTTCCAGACGGTAGAGAGTGTTTTGACTGGAGTTAGGAAATTGGTTGCGCGCAGGTCACCGCTAGCGACTAATCTTGTAGTGGTGTCCGGATCCTCGGTGCGAAGGTATCTCACATACTCGAGTATTATATATTACACGGACAGATAATACAGAAACGACAGTGACGACCTAAGGAATGGAAGATGATTGAGTATCAATGAGAATATGACTGAACATGATGCACAAATCTATGGATGAATGAGTGTTGTTTTGTTATTTAGCTTGAAAAAAAAATTGTGGATAAGGGAAGCGAAAAACGAATAGAATAATTGGCTTGAAGACAGGAAGATAAAACGAAAATGTACGTGTAGAGAGACAAATAAATCAAACCGTGCCTAACTCGAGACATGTCAGTGCAATCACTGGGTACCCCAATGGTTCCATTCAGGACCACTCTGCACGTCTCGTTGGGAGCTAGTGAAGTGGTCAGGTCCCGGAGTGGGACGTACGTTCATATTTGGTGCATTTGATGCAAATGATCCGCGAGGGTAACGCCCAGGGTGACCACGACCTCCGTTCTTGAAATTGGACTGATGGTCTCTACGATGTTGGCGACGAGGAGGTATGTTGATATTGCGCTGCTCAAACACCGGCTGCATGTGTGCACCAGAACCTGGAGGAAAGTTTGATGGGGCTTGCATATGCTGGTTGATGCCGAATGAGGCATGATTCGGCATCCAGCCGTGTGGAGTCATTATCGGAAAAGGTCCTGAGTTTGGGTGCTGAATCCCTGGCGGTACTGACATGCCAGGTGCGAACGCAGGTGGAGGATATGGCTTCCAATTATTAGGAGGTTGAACTGGGAGCGAAGCAAGAGCAGTCTCTGTGGAGGTCGAAGCCTGTTCGCCTTGAGCGCCGGACATGTACTGATTCAGAGCGTCTGGAGGGTAAACAGGAACAAGAATACCCTGATCTCCGTGAATGAACCCCGTAGGTATCAGTGGCGCTTGTGTTGCGACAGGGGTCTGTCCCTGGCCTTGTTCTCGCACGGGTGTTCTCGCAGGATACGGATATGGAATGAATGGCTTGAACAACACGTCAGCGTTGCAGCATGGGAGGTTGAGATTTATTAAACGTACAGCATACATTCCTGGGTGAACAATCGGAGCAGGTGTTGCTGAAGGTGTTCCACGAGCATCCGCGCCACTAGCCGGCGGAAACGATTGGGTCATCGGTGGCGGAAGAGGAAATCCAGGGTACGCCCCCATGTACTGCATGTGATATGGCGGGAAACCAGCTACCCATCCTTGAGGATGATAGTACCCCATTGTGGGTATGGGATAAGCCATATGTTGGGGAGGGGCAGATGTCATCGATGTTTGTGAGGCGGAAGGAGTAATGGAAACGGCCTGAAACGGGACAATGCCGTCTAAATTGATGGTCTGTACGTCATCCGCAACTAGAGAGGAAGACTGTTGAAGTTCAGAGTCAACGTCAAGCTTTTCATCTGACTGCTCGACATCAGGCATTGAGGCATTGATGGCTGTCTTATGGTCGATGTTCAATTCTTGTAGCCTCTCCTCCAGGGCGATCGCAGATGGCTGCTGAACATTAGGATCCACGCAAAAATCGTCGCTGGAGACAAGGGACGGTTCTGAACCATGACGGACCACGCTCCCCTCAAAGTTTCGCCCGCGGTTACGATTGGATCTCCAGTTCGTGCGATGCGGAGGGTTCCAGTCACGGAGTTGGACGCGGATTGGGCGTCCGTCAAGAATCCTGTTATGCTTATGGCAGATGGATTAACATAGGAATAGGAGTGGAGATGTTTGATCGTACCTCTTCACTGACAGCTCGAGCGGGAGATTCCTTGTTATTGAATGTGACAAAAGCAAACGCAGAGCGCTTGTTGACTACAAAAGGTAATAGTTACTGAGCGAGGATGACAATAATTAAAGCCTACCTGGCCGGATAACTTTGACATTCTCTACGCCGCCATACCTTGAGAACAAATTACGGACGCGTTCTTCATCCCAGGCGTTCGGGCCATACATCTCCAATCCTCCGACGAAGATGGTAGTAGGATCCAATGGACCTTCGCGCTTTGCATCCCATTGCAGGTCATTCTTCGTGGCGAACTCGGGTAGAGATCCGGACTGAAAGTCGCCTAGGTAGCTTCCAGTGGTAGGAGTACGAGGGATCAACGACCCCGGCGTTTTCGGAGTCATAGGCGAAGTTCCAAACTCGGGAGTCGGAGGGATGCCGAGTTCAATGTCATAGGATTCCTCGTGCTGAACCGGTGTTGTATTGAAATGCGCTGTAGAGCTTGTAATGTTTGAAATACCCGACATAGATGGTAGATGCGTCAGAATGCTAGAGTGAGTTGTGCTAAGTTGAAATTCGCTGCAAAGGGAAACAAAAACTAGCCTCTGATTTTCGTCAGCAGCCTCCATTCGGTCGCTCCAATACTTTCTCGTTTCCCGTTCACGGACTGTCTCAGAGATAGGCGGGAAGTGCTTCTTGTCCACACCTAATGGCTTGTGGCTCAATGATAGAGCTCGAGGACGTTTTGGTGCCGTGCCTGTCCTATCCGATGTGCCATTCTGCGAGGACCAGGTCATGTCGCACAATGCGGTAGATGCTCGGTTCGAATTACGCGAGATGTTGCCAAGGCTAGCTGACGATGAGATCGGTTGTGTGCCAGGATGATGATAGAGAACGAGCGAATCTATGGATGAAAATCGGTTTGGAAATGGGAAATGGGATGGGGCCATATGTGTGGAGCTAGCTGCTTGAGCTTGCCAATGTTGTTGACTAGTTTGGACAGCCTGTGCGCTATGGTAAGGCATCGGCTGGCGTGGATGAGCTGGATGGTGAGCCCAAGTCACGGTCAGGTGAGGGACTCTGCGCAGAGTCTAGTAGTTGCGTCAGCATACGCAATCAAGTAGTTCTGTAAATGTAAATTCACTATCAGAGCGGCAACGCAGTCATCACGGTGGCACCATTTAATCTCCCAGCACCCTGTCTCCATTTCTGCAGAGCGCTGAGCATCGTGCGGAGGAGGATACTCTTGCTGAACACCTGACTCGAATTCGTGAGGGACAAAATGTTCAATGGCCCCGAAGATGGTGGATATCTTCCTTAGAGTCTAGAGCAAAGTTAGAACCCACAGTTCCGGTCATAGGCTAGGCTACGAGTACTTCGGCGGTATAAAGCAGCGGGTTAAAATACGCTCCATATTCATCTGCCTCTCGATCACCGAGGGGCAGAAGGCCTTCATTCTCCGCTGCGGTACGCGCATCCGAATTGTAGAGGAGTGATAGGTGCCTGGCGATTTTACTTTCGTCAGAGAACGAAAAAAAAACTGAAGAAGAAGAGATACCGGGAGCCCGAGACCCTAGAGATTTTCATCGCCCAAGGCAAGTTAAGGTCGACAGGCTTACCATCCTGAAGGTCGCCAAAGCTTGATTTGATGTCTGACGAAGGGGCAAACTGTCGGGGTGTACTAGAAACCGAATGAGAAAGAGGACTACTGCATATATGCGCGTATTCAAGCGCATATATGTACATGTGGGGACGCGTCTTCGCGAAAACTCACCGGTAGGATATGAGTAGCGTTCTCAAGGCTCGTGCGGGCTCATAGCGTAAGTAACGCCCCATGAATTGTTTAGGGTCCGACGAATGCAAATTTGCGATTAGCATGGCCGCTGTCTCGGCGTCCTGGTGCAGCATTAGAAAATAGACTCGGAACATTTAATGGCGAAGACAGACCTGACACTGGATGAATGCGCAAGTTCCACCCTTTGAGTCACGAACGACCTTGATGGTCTGTACCTCTGGATAATCAGAAAGGTGATCAGAGAGCATACGAGTTAACTCCAAATGATCGATATTAGTTGGTAGACTGGGGGAAAAGTTTATGATGAGCACGCGAGCTATGTTGTGCCTAGATAACGTACCTTCCGATGAAAATGCTAGCGTCTTGAACGATCCTGTCTGACTTCTTAGAGTCGTCACATGCCTCGTTAACGCTCAAAGGGATGTCTTGGGTAGTGATATTAGGATCTTCTGTTGGGGAGAGAGGAGCAGCAGAGAGTAATGTGTCAAAACGAGTACCCCAAGAACGCGCCTGGGTGTGCTGCGGCATGTCTATAGAATGAACTAAGGAATAGTACTTGTTAGTGAATGGTAAAGGTTTTAGGTGGGGAGATGAATGAAAGAGGTCCAAAACAGAGATACAAACAACCGTGGCTCGCGGGCGCAGTCTACCTAAACTGCTCTAGAATATGTCAAGATACCAACTTGTCAGAACACAATTTCACAGCTCCACGGAGTGAAAAACAGAAAAAAAAATTAAGTCCTTCTTTGTTATCCCTTCCCTCCACCGATGGGTGTAGAGCCCAAGTGGGAAACGGAAGATATTGAGATGGAACCAAGGATTCTTTGTGATTGGCTCACATGAAATATTGAATCTGGAGAACCAAGTTAAAACGACAATCAATTTACACCTAGATGATTTATTCATTTGATGGATTGCGTGAGACACGAGTCCGAGCTCGGAGAAGGCACTCGCGACGCCTAGTTAAGACGACGCAAGCTCCAACTCAAGGAACGCGATAATCATTCATCCATCAGATCAGCGACCGGAACAGTGCGAGCACAATATCTGTCATGTTCATACACAAATGAGAGCTCGTGGACTATCTCAGCTTTGAAGCTTACCCCAGGTAGGTTAAGATGTACTGCTGCACCATGTACATGCATTGTATTATCGGGGTATCTGGAATGTATACCAACGACTATCATAACGCAAACGGAGGCAGCACAAGATACATCCACGGATACCGGGCCGTCAGTAACAGGGAAGCTGTAGGTTCATTTAGAATTTTCGCTATTGAATCAATCAAGATAAGCGCACCATTCCAATTTCAAGAAGAAATAGTGATACGATATGAGGGAAGCACGGGCCCGGTGTTTCATTGATTGATGTTAGTTCCAAATGCACACCGCTGTGACTATGGAGACATGGCGGCCCGACAAAAACGAAAGTGCTGCTCTTGGTGTCACGGTGGACAACCGCAGTGAAGAGCACTCATGAGGAAATACTCAGTAGCACGAGCGATTAAACTCAATATGATTCCGAGAACCTCTGCAACACGTCGCTCTGATCAGGTGCAAAAGGCAAAATGACGTTTCACAAAGTTTCGACGAACGAAGGTTTGGAAGAAAGAAGTCGACGATTATGTAATCCTGTCCTGCTTCCATGCATTCGTCCAGAAATTTGTGTCCTTCATCTTGCATCTTAGGATCGACTGGCCTGCTTCCTTAACCACCTCAGACCCAGTTCAGCATGTCCGACGACGGCTATGGCGGTGGTGGCGGTGGCGGAGATGACTACGACTACGACGGTCCCAGGTATGTTTTGATTCCAAAGTCATCGACAAGGAACTTTATGACATATTATTCTAGTTTCACAGATGGTGCCTTCGTGCGTACCTGGCGAATCATACTTTGATCAAACTTTTGACACCGCATGTTATTTAGGATGAAGGCTATGATCTCCTCGCACAAGAACAAGAGGAACAAGTAGAAGGGGAGGAGACAAATGGTGAAGTCTCGCACGTCAATGGAATTAATGGGGCAGACCATGATCAGGAGATGGTGAATGGAGAGGAGGGCGTACAACCTCAGCCAGCGCCAGTCAAACGCAGGTATTCAGGGCGAGCGACAGGCAAACAAAGTCAGAGTAACAACACCATACTTGACCAAGTACGAACGAGCACGAATATTGGGGACTAGAGCGCTTCAAATCAGGTGAGAGGTCTTTTGCATCTGACTTGCATTTGATCTTATGCAAGCGTGTCATCACAAGCATGAACGCCCCAGGTGCTCGTTCCTTTGGATGGCGAGACAGATGCTCTGCAAATCGCAATTAAGGAGCTCTCACAACGAAAAATTCCCCTTATCATCCGGCGCTATCTACCCGACGGAAGTTTTGAAGATTGGAGTGTCTCTGAGCTAATTAGCGAATGACACATTATCTTGAACCCTCTTCCCGCAGTTTTACCGGGCCTCATTTCGGTTGTTATCTTGTCCTGTTTTACTATTGTCTACCTCAAAGACTTGAACTATCTTTGCAACATGCAAATACTACTGGAAGAATATAACAAAGGTATACCATACAATTATTTACAGCCGACTATGAATACTACTAGGCTTCTTCGGGATTTCCACCCACATCTCAACCCTTGACTTGGCAACATTTCGAGGCCGAGGTTTGCATTCCCTGGAGACGACCGATGCGCTCGCTCGGCGTACCTTTGCTTTCGGAGGTTGTAATTCATCCATCAGAAGATCATCTCCTCCCGTATTCTTGGCTGCATTTGTCGCATCTGCAAACAGTATGCGCCTGTCTGACATGTCCAACCTATCCATACCATCCGCGATTCTGGCGATATCGCGTCTCTTGCGTGGACTTGACTCCACGTCTGAGTAGTGTGACACAGACTGTCGCCGCTTAGTTGGCGATGACGGAACACTGACGGGCTTTTTTGATGGTGACGCTGGTTGTGACAAAAATGGATCCTCCGGTGGCACATTCTCGACGTTCAGATTCCACTTTGATGCAGCTATTGAATTGAGATGAGCGGCGCACTGAAAGAAGCCAAATCCACTCTTACCCTTGCCCTTCGTCTTGGTAGCGGTCTCTTTGACGGCTTTGAACCCATTGGATTCGTCAGTGTGATCAAGGGTCTGTTGTATCTCCCAGTCTGATGGTCGCATCTTCTTCCAGTCTTCCAACACTTTGTCGACCCATGCATCAGTCTCCCCTGCGACATGGCAATCGATAATGTCGGACCACTCGCTGCCAGGTGGTGTCTTGTTCACGAAAATAACTTTTCCCTGCCAACTCTTTTGCACTTTGGGAGTACCGCTCGGTGTAGTTCCAGTCCCAGTAGCGTGTACGACTTTCGCGAAGTCTTTAACAAGCTTTTTGAGACCATGGACCTTGAGTGAAGTACCCATAATAATGAGCATATCTGGTTTGCGAGCAATGTCCATCGTTTGTATCGCGCCTATGTCGTCTCCAAGAGGGTGTGGTTCGTCGTAGAGTACGATGGCTGGACGAAGAGTCCCAATTTTGAGGGCACGTGCAGAGCGAGCAACTCGTGCTTCCGCTACCAAAGACTTAGCTAAGCGTAAAAAACGAACCTGAGAGCTGACTTACATCGTGAGATGCATTCTGGGCAGTTTGGGGCTTTGCCATTCTCGAACGAATGCAAGTGCTCCTCGGTACAAGGCATCTCGGCAGAGCATAAAGTGCACCGCACGCGGTGGATGTCCCCATGCAGCTGGACGTTCCTTACTTCTTTGACTTTCAGCTTCGACTTCTTCTTCCCACTTGTCTTTGCCTGCTGACTTGAACTCCCACGGAGCCCTACTCGCTCTTCTAGACCATCGATATTCTGGGTATACGAGCGTACTAGTTTCTGCTTCGCGTCTAGGGTTTGAATGAATCGATGTGTAGGGGCAGGAGTGGCAGCATCGATAGAGCGCTTGAGCTGTGATATAAAAGTATAAAAGACGGAAGTGGAGGCAGAGTCACGGAACAGAGACGCGTCAAAGAGATCACGCCCTTTCAGGACGATGTCTGGGTATCGCTGCTTCACGAGCGAATAAAGACCATCTGAAGACCGGAAATCCTATATCGAGAGAATTGTCAAGCCATCGCATCTGATACATGTGCAGAGGACTCACCGGAATGCCACATGAACATGAAATGCCTGCTCCGGTGACAACAATTATCTTTTTCGATTTGGCTACTGCCAAAGAAATGTCAGAGAGTGCCCTCCGCGTGCTGGACTCTCCGGACACCGCATCAAGCGGTAGTGAAATTGTCATGAGGTGTTTGTCTATGATGGTGGTTGGAGGGTCAGGATTGATTGGGAATTCCGGATGTGCCGACAGTGGACACGCTGCCGACAACTCAACTGAAATTCAGGGTGAACACCATTTTAGGTAAATATTTGTTGTCATATGTTTGTGGACGTGTCGCGTCGCGCTTGTCACGTGACTGACGCGTCCTTAATTGGTTCAAGTCTCCGTAGCTGGCGAGGCTCAAGCTGAAAGCAAAGACCATCATGACCCTTTCCCCACGATACGACACCGTCCGCGCCATAGACGCATTCTTCCCCTCGAAACACTTCTCCAACATCATCGACCGCCTCCCACGTTGTCACAGTTCCCTCCTCTTCCAGTTACGATCCGGGCACACTCCCCTCAACAAACACCTCCATCGTATAGCAAAGTCGGAAGAGCCTGCCCAAACACACATTTGTACTAACAATCGTTTCACCTTAAGTTGGTGTTACTGTCCGCGCCTCGGCCAGGACAAATGCACAAGACGATTCAAACCGCACAAACGTATGTATTAGAAACAGTAGATACAGCATGTATTGTCTACCATAGGGCTCTGCCCCAACGGACATAAAACAAGGATTCAAAAAAAAAGTAGTCCAGAAGACAGTAGACAGTAACTGTCACATATAAAGGTACGCGCGACCTCGCAGAACAAGGTGACATTGAACCCCGTATTTAGCTCAATCAGCCTTCTCGGACGTCGGAGTTCGTTCATAATACCAGATTCCAGTTTCTGCGCAGGTTGAAGAAATAATGGAGTCGAGAGGCTTGAAGTGACCGTATTGCTCCTAGGACAGGATTGAGTAAACCACAGTACATTCGTTATTAACGCGACATACTGTGCCCAGAACATGGTGGAAGTACCGGATCTCCTTCAAAACAGTGCCATCATGACAGTTAAGCCAAGGGTCAGCACCAGTTTGAGAGTAAAGGGCATTTGTGATCTGTGCGCGGGTGTATGTCGTTGTATTGGAGGGAACAATTCCGGAACTATTATTGCCAAAAATCGTCAGCAGTCAAGGACTACGGCGAATAAACTTGACCTTACACAGCGAGTATATCGTATGTAGGATACATCTGGAAAACCTTTACGACAGTCTCGAAGAAGTTGACGACTTCCTGGTGTTTCTTGTATCCGGGCTCGTAGCAAGCAACGTCGAACGCGGATGTGCAAGTAGCATGTATTGAGAACTGATAGCAGCTCTGTCAACAGGCCCTCTATGTAAGTGATATCTGCCCACCTCGTGAGCCCATAAATCCTCATTAGGTGCGCCCTGGTTGATCCAAAAGGTATCCACTGCAACGCATGTTTGATCATCTATATTGACATATAGTTTTGTTCACATACTGTAATTCAATAAGTCGGAGCGACCGAATTCCTGGATAAATTGTCTAACACTCGGTCCTTTATAAGGATTAATGACCGTTCCATTGGACAACGTTGATGGCGATGGCTTGGGGTCATACTGCCTGCTAGGATCGCAGTACTGGCCTGCCGTAGTACTAGGCAGGGCGAAAGGCGTCCCTCAGCATTCATGAGATTTACAAAGCAACACAACTTACCCATCGCAGTTGAGTGGTATTATGCTATGAATACCCCAGCTGCCTTTTGGAAGCAGTTGGGCATGGGACTCGAGACCAGTATATGTATTCCAGAATTGCGCCAGTAGCACAAGCCCGCCTTGTACGACATTGCAGCATGAATCCGTCACCGTTGTATTTTCGCAGGAGTACTGTACTGGGAGGCCGACACATCTCTCAATGTTCGGGTACGTGGGGTAGAATTCGGCATGAACCACGGAGACCAGAACTCCGAGAATGACAAGGGACAACATCATGTACTATCCGAGTCAGTGTTTGAGAGGGGTACCTCTTCGCTGGGGGATCATGTTGCCGACATTTATACTATCTAAGACTCTCACCTGCCATTCGATGTCTGACCTGGTCTGACTAGGCTTGACCCTTCAACAGGAGACCTACGTGGCAGAGCACCAGTGCGCGGCGGCGGCGCTAGTGCTGGGGGCAGAATTGTTTGCGAGCTATTGTGCCGCATAACCGGCAGAACCAGAACCACCACTTCTGCCGCTTGGCAAAATTTTCAAAGCGCTACAAGGCCATGTGTATGACAATGTATAGAAGTGTCACTAGAAAAACACCATTAGAAGACATCAGCACGTCCACATCCCACTGTTCGTTCTCGTGTGAGGTGCGATCATAGTTTGACATTCTGCCGGATTCTGCCCGCAGAATTCTGCCATCTGCCGGGTAGAACCAGTTTGGCAGAACCAGTTGGCAGAATGGCGGACTTCTGCCCACAACACTAACACTGTGCGCCTCACCAATTTTTTCGCACGCGTCTGTTTTTACCTGTCACTTCAAGATATTCAAACAGGTCTCACTCACTTATAACTTGAAGTTACTTTCTTCTTTTAGACTAAACACATCACTACCTGATGGCGCATTTCTCAATTTCCACCCCGTTTGAGCTCTTGACAGTCGAGAATTAGATTGGTGATATGTTGATTGGCCATGACCGACTATTGACCGAAGTGACCGCTCTAAGGTATTATTCTCCGCTGCGAGATTTATGCGCATAAGGTGACTCTGATCTTCGATTCCGGGATTCGCAAGAAGGTACAGTAACCAAGACATATTTTCCGATGCCGACCTTCCGTGTCATTTGTTTGGCAGGCACTCACAAAAGGCTGTCAGGCGCGGTGAGCATGCGGCTGAACGAGGCCAGGCCGGCGTGTTCGACGTGCGACAGCTATGATGGACGACGGCTCCTCAAGACGTTGAAGCAGTCGCTGCAAGAGACCACGCGACGTTTTGGTACCTTCCGATCTTGGTGCACGACGGTTGTAGAGCAGAAAACGGTAGACAGCGACTTTATGTAAAGGGATACGTGACCTTGTAGAACAAGCTGACAACGTGCGTCTTGCCTTTAACCTAGTAAGAAACAACCCGCTCGGATGTCGGAGTCCGCTCATAATACCAGATTCCGGTCTCTGCGCAGCTCGACGGAGTAGTGGAGTTGAGGGTTTTGAAATGACCGTATTGCTCCTAAGTCAAGGTTAACGAAATCGCCACATGGTCTCTATCAATGTGACGTACCGTGCCCAACACATGGTGGAAGTACCAGACCTCGTCCAAAATAGTGCCGGAGGAGCCATAACAGCCAAGATATGGAACAGCGCCAGTTTGGGAGTAAAGGGCATTCGTGATTTCCGAGAGGGTATATGTTGTTGTATTGGAAGGAACAATTCCGGCACTATTGTCGCCAAAGGTCGTCAGCAGTCATGGACTACAGCGAATAAACTTGAACTCACGCAGCAAGTATGTTGTAAGTAGGATACATCTGGAAGACCTTTGTGACTGTCTCATAGAAGTTCACAACTTCCTTGTGTTCCTGGTATCCAGGTTCGTAACAGGCAACGTCGAACGTAGATGTGCAAGTAGCGTGCTTTGAGAACTGGGTGCTGCTCTGTCAAGAAGCCCTCCAGGTAAGTGATATCAACTCACCTCATGAGCCCAAAAGTCCTCATTAGGCGCGCCCTGGTTGATCCAATAGGTATCCACTACAAAGAATGGATTATAAATAGAGACATGCGAGTTGAGTTCACATACTGTACTTTAGCAAGTCATAACGACCGAAATCCTGGATGAATGTTCTGACGCTCGGTCCTTGGTAAGGAGGAACAACCGTCCCATCAGGCAAGATTGACGGTGACGGCGCAGGGTCATACTGCCTGCTAAAGTCACAGTACTGGTCGAACGAGCTATGCAGGGGATCAGTAATCAGGACTGAATCATGACATTTTGAAAAGAAAGTTGTCCTACCCGTCGCAGTTATCCGGCCATAGGCCGTGAATGCTCCAACTGCCTTGTGGAAGCAGCTGTCCCTGGGACTCGAGACCAGTATAGGTATTCCAATACTGTGTCTGTAGCACAAGTCCGCCTTGTGCGACATTGCAGCATGAATTCGTTAAGACCGTTGTGTTCTCGCAAGAATATTGCACTGGGAGGCCGACACATGCCCCGATGTTTGGGTACGTGGTAGACAAATTCTGAGTCGACCGTGACAGATAAGGGAATTCAGCATGAAGTATGGGGACCGAGGTTGCGAGACTGATAAGGGACGGCTTGAACATATCACAGAGAATGCGTTCGACAGAGGTACTTCATACCGGGGATTGTGTTGCCGACTTTATACCTGTGACCCTTGCCTGCTCACCAAAACCGAAGCATCGACAAGAACGTGCGTATCTGGACCATGTGCAACGGCCGCAGAGAATGCAGTTGACATGGGTAGAATCACGCGGTCACTACAAGACCCGGAAGACCTAGTCAACCTTAACCGGCATAAGTTGACTAGCATTACTTAAAGTGCTCACGAACCATGAATAAGGTTTGCCCTAAGCACTTGTAAGCTGGGATCAACACGTTTTAAAGAGCTTGAGCGCTTGAGCGAGAGTGAAATCTAGTAGGTGTCGGGCCTCGGCTAAGTTTGGGCTGACTTCAAGTTGCGGTTTTATCGCGGCTAAGCTCAAGTCGAAGTATCCCGGCCCTTGGTCTAAATTTACTTTATTTTGAGATGTCGGCAGCCACACATGCAACACTAGAAGTACAAAACAGATTAAAACATGATTCATCTTAAGGATCGACTAATAGGTCCAGAGTCGAGCAAAAGTCCAAGAGCAGCTAGTGAGCACGAAGATCATATGTCGGTCCATCCACCTTCGTCCAGCTTGTAAGAGGCCTCGCTCTCAGGGCGGTCGGGGCTGTCCACCAGCTTCGCGACACGTTCTTCAGCCCGTCCTGAAAGTTAGGTGGATAATATTAGTACAGTTTGCATTTGGCTTTGGACTCCTTTTGGATGACACCGCAACCCACGGTAAGCGCTAGTGACTTGCCTTTGCGAAGGAACATCCGAGTAGCTGAGGAGTGCGATAGAATATGTCCGCCGATGGGTTTGAGAGCTCCGCCAGCCACGAATGTCATCGTTGCTCCTGGGTCGGCTACGCGAAGAGAATGAGCTGCGATTTTGAAATAGGACCAGTTAAATACATACATTGTACTTGGTTCGTTATCAAAACAGCAATCTGCAAGAGATGTCAGTCTTGTGAAATAGTTTGCCAACGAATATCAAACGTTGAATTCTTCTGAAAGCTTAGTGAGCTTCGACATCACCTAATGCGGATGCATCGCGTTAGCAAGCACGACTAGGAGCCATCTGAATCGTTCTGCCCACTTGTGCTAGCTACACTGTGGTGAGTTTTAGCATCCCGCAACGGCTCGAAGACCTACTTTCTGTTGCCTTTCGCTGAGTTCGCCACGACCAGAAAAATCGACGCGAAAGAGAGCCATAATGGAGTCTACGATCTGATTACTAAGTAAGCGATTTCCTCGCCATGGAGATTGCAAGACCTACTAGAAGACGGAAGTCTTTGTCCTCCGCAAAGCGCATGGAACATTCGCTGATAAGCTCCATCTGCAACATATTAGCGATGGCTGTATAGTAGTAGAGAAGGGGAGCAACCTGGTGTTCACTGTTGAAGGCGCGCGCTGCAAATGCTATGTCTCAATGACGTGAGGTATACAGCCAGAAATATACCATAAAGGATATTTTCGAGCGCCATATTCCCGTCAACACCAAACCGGTCAGCGATGGATCTGATGCGATCTGGTCTGAATGTCCCTAATAGAAAAGAGCGTCGGCGATAGGTTGTCGCTCGTAAAATAACAACTACAGCACCTTCGGTATCGATATATGCGACCTGTTTTTCACATTGGATTTGACTTATTGCAGAAGAAAGACTTGCTCACTTTGCCAGAGGCCCCACCCATCTCCGGAGGGAGTTGGGTGACAACAGACATTGTGTGGGCCAGCTGTGTCTTTCCAGTGCGGAATTCACCGTAGACTGGTTTAAAACAGCTGAATGCAAAAAATGCAAAAAAAAACGGCAGGACCAACTACCTTCGGAAATTGACTGTGACATCAGCCCACCTGAAAGCTAGTAAGTACGATCCCTGTTGTGATATATCGATATACCCACCACCTAAGATTGTGTCTACCGACTTGCTTCCAGTACTGATGACAAGCACGCGCTTTCTTCGATCCTGGACTTCAATACCGGTTGCAAAGGAAGACCCCTTGTAAAGTATTATGAGTATTAGAAGACAATAGTGATGGTTGACAGCTACCGTGATTTTCTGCGCTGCCTCCTGTGTAACATCTCGGATTGAAAGCGAAACACGGTTACCGATCTGAATATATGCACACCTTGATCTTCTCAACCTTCGCTTCCGACATACCCTGCAAAGAAAATATGGAATTCACAGTCCTCCTGGAAAATTTGTAGTGAAATTACGCAAACCTTTATTTTCAGTAATTGACGACGCGTAGTCATCACGACACCAGACACAGTGTTGATGGAGGCACTCTAGAGCCTCCATAAGCCTAGTAGATATTGCGCATATACTGGGTGAATACCTTGAGTTTTAAGATATCTTGCACGTTTATGCCCTACAACACGTTCTGAGTCCCGAGCATATATACGCGTGAAAGATACCAACATGTTGCTGCAATTCATCCACATTATCAAAGAATGGCGTCTGTAACGCGTCGCGTCGCGTTAATATGCGTGAGTCCTACAGCGGATATCGATGACTGCAAACAACCTTACCTCTTCAATGTCTTCACCACTTGGACTCGATGGTCGACTGGGAGGAGGCATGCTCCCTTCTGGTGCAGCTTGTCGACGAGGGGCCATGGCTGCAATATGAAAAACAAAGTTCTAGTTCTAGATTGAATTGTATGAGTCAGAAATAAGAACCCGGAACCAAACACTTCATATAATCGATGTACAGCCACCGCTATGACCCTGACGAAAACGGAAGTCAAACTCCTAGACTCTAGTACATACGAGGTGTGCTTGAAAGCAAGGCAGCATGAGCCACGCTTAAATCAAAGAACTCTGCCGAAACCGCTAGAAATTGTAACCCTCAAGCTGGTCGAGAAGATACAATATTGATACATTGACCAAGCACTATACTGGTTGGCCTGCTACATGCAGTCACTGTTGCGTCATGGCTGGCGTGTCCATTTACGGGCAAGCCCCAAGGAGTATAGTCATCTTCCGCAGAGCACTTCCTGCATATAAACTCTTTGTGAAGGTCAGACTCATGTTGTAATCGAACAAGGAAGAAAAGTTGAACGTACTCCAAACAGAACTGTGTGATTTAGATAATGGTAGAGCTCGTAAAGGTCTGCTCTGAGCTCGTACTGATCCACAGGTTCGGTCTTGGGCAAGTGTTCATGGTACTTTTCAAAAAAGCCATGGGGAAATCCACCGAAGATACGAGCGATGGCTAGACTAAACCACGCATATGTTATGAAGCTGCGATTACTCCGCCTTTGCTGTGGTACTCACTCAGCTTCATTGTGACCGTAGTAAGATGACGGATCGAAGATAACAGGTTGACCCGATAAACTATCTATGCCTGCATTACCACTCTGCTATCATCAGCATATAGTTGTGAATGCTCAACAAGATACTTACCCAGAGGTCACCATGCAATAGCACGGGCTGAATCTCAAGAGGGCGAAGCAAGAATGGTATCACTCTACACTGCTGCAGTAGCTGACCCTCGTAATAAGCTACCATACACTTACTTGGACCTTACTTGTTCCCCCTTGGTGCAAAGTTCGGAAAACCTGCCTGTATCGGGAAGCTTGGCAAGCAGACTTCCAATCATGGCGCTGTAGCATTCTTCCCAGGTTTGATACCAGCCGTTATCTTGCCGAGTTGCACCGCAGAAGGTAGGCACATGAAATCCAAAGCCCATGGTGCTCTTGTACACGTGCAGCTCCGTGGCTAGCCTCATCCCAAATTCCTCCCCTGCTTTGTGGTTTGAAGTAAGACTTGTTATATTCCGATATTCCGACAGGAAATAAGGCCGTTCAGATGTTGTGGCAGGATTATCTGGACCGACCGCTGCGAACACCTGAGGAGCTAGTCCCGGTGCAGCATCGTATATGGCTCTGAGTGACTCTGCCTCTCCCACGAACTGCTCTCGTTCGCTGAGCGAACCTACTTTGGCATAGTACTTCCTCCCCAGTGAAGATTCTATGATCGGAAAACTGAATACGAACTGTGCATGCGGTTCTATTTTTTGAAGGTGAGGGAGAAATATGTTGTCCATTATGTGGTATCGAACCAAGTGACATGACGATTTAGACTCCGGGTCTGGTATGTAGGCGGTAGCGCGGGCCGCGCACTTCCGAATCAGGAACAGTGGTTGATTATGTAGTACTCAATACTGCGACGAGGCATGCATGCACTGTTGATTGAGTTCCCAGGGGAGCTCAAAGTAGGCCGCTGTCCGCTGTGGCTTTCGCTTCAAAGACCTTTGCCAGTATTTTACCAGGCGGCCGCCCTGCCACTCATCGGACAGGTTCTCGCGGCAAAGAAGGCCGAAGCTACTTTTCGACGGATGCTTTCCTTGAATTCCCAGAGCTGGAGTAAGCTTTCGAAGACACTGTAATCTCCGAGAGTTCTCAAGTTCTCGATTAACTAACCAAACCTCTTCACGCATCGTGCGTTCAAAAGAATTGCCTGCACTTTTTCAGGCCTTCGAGAACAGGATGCTTGTTAGACGTTGTACATCTGAATTAACCGCGCTTCGTGCGGACTTCGCAGTTTTGACGTTATCAGTTGCTAATTTCAGCAACTTAGACCCCCGCTGATTGGCATCTTGTGCCATCAGGGAGTATGGCGTTATCTCAACGTTGTGACATTGTCGCCTGCAATGCTAACAGAGATCTTGCTCATGACCTGGGGCAAGCGTATGAAGGTGATCGCAGTTGCCCTTAAACGCTATAGCCCATCAAAATCAGGTGTGTATTTTGCTCTTCTTATTTCGCGTGGTCTCACAATCATGCAGAAGTTGTGGAAAGACGATCAAATAGAGTATTACAAGAAGGTTATCTAACGCGCACGATCGATTTCATTAACGTTTACGCTTACGGCGGGTCCTCCCGATCATATTTCTGGGCAGAGTTAGTCGGAGAATTAGAGACTTCAATATGGGTCTTGTCTGTATCCACAGCTGCAGCATTAGGATGGAGACAGGGGCTCCGATGTGTCAAAAAACACGGTCGTAATGGCAGACTACAAAAGTCGATTTTTTATCACCGCTTGGCGTCGGTAACTAGTTTGTGCAGGTATTCATCGAGGAAGACACTCCATCTTTTTTTTTGGAGCCGTTGGTTTGATCGCGAACTATCACCAAGCATTTTGAACGTTGCTGATCCAAGGAGATGCTTGCATCTAAATAGATATCATGAATTTCTTTCCTTTTACACTCGTTCTCCATTACCGAGATACGAATAACGAATAATTTAGACCAATTTTTCTGAGTGTAACGACTTCAGCATTTGTTCAGCTTCTTTATATCTTTTTCTAGTCCCCTCGATGACAATATCATCGATTCCCCATCCCTTGCCGTTTCCGTTTGGTCCACTCTCTAATCCTTTTCTGTACCCAGCGGCAGTCAATGCATTTCTGACATACTGCTTGTCAAAGCTTGGCTGTCCTTTGCCAGGTTCATACTGGTCTCGGGGCCAGTATCGCGACGAATCAGGCGTAAGGACTTCGTCCACAAGGATGAGCTCGTCTTGCCCAGTAGAAGCAGAGGGAACAAGACCGAATTCAAACTTCGTGTCTGCGAGAATAAGTCCACATGATTCTGCATATTCAGCAGCAGCTGTATATAGCTGCAAAGATGCAGCCTGAATACGGTCGAATAGATCTTGACCGATGAGTTGAGCGGCTGATAAAGTGGGTATGAGCAACTTGCAACAAGCTATTCCAACGATAGCACCTTTTTCAGGCGAGATGTTCTCGTCATGGGCGCCTTGCTCAGCCTTGGTAGACGGAGTGAAGATCGGTGTCGGGAACTTTTGAGATTCTTCCATCCCCTCCGGTATTGGGATACCACATACAGTCTGTGACTTTTGGTACTCTGCCCAGGCTGATCCTATTCACAAAGTCATTCCGGCGGCTCCAGGAGATTATCCGGATAACGAATCAGCTCACCGGTGATGTACCCTCTGACGATCGCTTCTATGGGCACTATTTTGGCCTTTCTTACAAGCATAGTGCGGTCCTCGAGTTGCTCGCGGTATTGCCGGACTTCATCTGGCATCTCATCGATATTGACGGTAACGAGATGGTTAGGAATGATGTGCTTCAGCTTCTCGAACCAGAACAGCGAGATGCTTGTGAGGAGTTTGCCCTTGTCTGGGATACCCTAAAAGCAGGGCACATTAAATCAGGCAGAAAAGAGTTCAGAGATATCCACGGACGCTGTTGAGGATGACATCGTACACTGATATCCGGTCGGTTGCGACAAACAATAGATGATCGGGCGACGAAGTTGCGTAAACGTCGCGGACCTTTCCTTTGGAAATAAGTTGAAGGTCTGGCAAATCCGTTTGTAACAGGGCTGCCATTGCGGGGTGAAGAAGAGATTACAAAAGTATATCTGATTAGAAGGGATTCCGACTGGGTGGTTACGGAAACGGGCTACTTCGGCGATCGCAATATCTGGAGTGGGTGATGTAAGATGATGATCCTGTACTCTAGAGTCTATGTGTGTGTGTATGCATGCGTCAGTTGTGTCTATATTCCTATTACTCCTGTTATGCTAAAGGACGCCTTCAATATCTATGAGGACTCCGCGTTATACAGCCGGGACAAGCCTACAATCGTTGTCAGCACTTAAACATGCAACCAAGGGTCAGGACACCGACAAATCATATTTGACCAACTCGTCAACATCAATGAATGCTGTTGAGGCCATTTGACGAGCTTCTACCCACATCCAGACCTGTCTCGAGGATAAGTATTGGTAGAGACGAAAAATACCCAGCATCTACCTTCAACAACGCTCCAAAGTTTCCTGAGGGTAACTGTGTCATCGACTCTTGAGTTGTCATCTGCCGTCCAAGCTGTCGTAGAATCGGCAATGCACTCTTGAAAAGATCTAGACTTGGATCCAAATGTCTCCCAATGCCTTCAAGAAGTAATATGGAGATAACCGTATTGATGAAATCCGCCTCCATCTTGACATGGTGCTGCCGCACAGCCGTTAGAACATCAGTCAAAATATCCGAAATCTTGATTTGCCCAAGTGAAAACGTTTTCCGCTTGATGCTCAGGACAATGTGTTGCATCTTCAGTGCAAATGTCTCGGTGTCGATCGCAAGTTCGGGAGTCCGACAACGTTCGACCATCAATTGACCGGCTCGGTAGCCATCGAACTCAGCAATAGCCCTGAAAAGATCGAGGAAGTTCTTGCGGTTTGCCGCGTTAAGCGTTGTCACGAGACCAGCATCAATGAAAACGATTTCAGGAATGTAGCCCTGCTCCGATGAAGCCCTAAGTTCATTTTGCCATTCCTCACGGGAATGTCTGAGTGAGCGTAGTCGGACTACTATTTCATCAGATTCCAGCGGGTGCTCGACGAGAACTTCGGCAGAGCCCTTCTGTGAGAAATATGAGGAGTACATGTTCATGAGGAGGTCACGGGTGGTGGGAGGCTTTGTGAATTTGATCATGATGTTGCCCGGATGAAGATCAGAGTGCACGAAGTTGTCAAGTAGTAGCATTTTCTGCGGGAAAATGGGTAAAAGAAAACTACCAGAGATAATTCACGAACCAAGAAAGCATCCAATCCGACAGTTGCCAATTGATCATCAAATGGCCCGCCTCCGTTTTTCAGAAAATACTCCATGCGCAAGGCGTTCTCGTATTCCTCGACAAGTAAGTCGGCAGTCGAAAATGTCTTTAAAGGACGTGGAAATGATACTGGCACGTTTCTCGAAGCAAAGTTATTTTCAAATGTCAGAAGATTCTCTGCTTCAATTCTGAGGTCGAGTTGACGACGCATCATTTCACCAAAGACGCTGACCTCCTCTGGGAGTGATAACCATTGCATACCAGGGAAAAGGTTAATGACCCGCGCAAAGAACGACATTATAGATAGGTCATGCGCAATATCCTTGGCGACGCGAGGATGCAAGACTTTGATGGCGACAGATGCAGTAGGTACTGAAGGCGGAGGGTCTTGCAGGATAACGGGAGCTAGTGACCCTGCGGGTGATTTGGTTTGCCGTTTGGGACCAAGGTAAGAGGGAGGTATAAGGTCATGCTTGAGAGTTGCCCGGTAGACCTACGGGTAATGAGTTCGTTAGTAGCCCACAGAAGCCAGCAGCAAACCCACTTGTGCAATGGCGCCGACTCCTATCGGATTCTCATTAAAAACTTCGAAAACCTCGTCGAATGGCCGTTCAAAGGCCCTTTCGATGACTTGCTTAGTGTGCATGAGTGAATGAGGCTTGCCGCGAGAGTGCAAGGACCCCATTTTCTCGCAAAGTAATGACGGGAAGAGATCAGCACGCGATGCTGCCCATTGCCCAAGCTGAATGATCAGACAGTGAGATGGAAAGGATGCTATGGGATAGATACCTTGATGAATGTTGGCCCGGCGGTTTGCATTCTCCTGACAAGAAATTCGTACCACCAAACGGCTCCCCACTTGTCACCCTTATACCTACGTTCAGGCTTCCCAATAAGCAGCATAGGCATGGTAACGATGACAGGTATGAACAGGTAGAAGAGGTGAATGAATCTTCGTGCCGTCAACACAGGTTCCCACAAGTGTTCCTGCAACAGAGATAATATCCGCGAGGGAATAGACATATGTGGTTCCGCCGGTGATCCTATTATAGTGTCTCTTGCTTGTACGTTCAAGTCGTGTTCTGTACACGGAATAAGTGTCGGCGAGGAAAAGATGGAAGGTAGGTGGAGCTGTTGGCTAGGATAGAGGTAAAGTGCGACACCGCCAGTCACGGGAATAAGCCATGCGATATTGCGCCAGAGTCGTGTGCGTGATTTGTTAGGGCTTTTGAACGACTGTAAATGAGATAGAGCAGTATGTTGTGATCGCTGGAAGGTATGACGGAGGCTCAACCCAGACCCACGGACGATACTGAGGCGGTGAGATAGCACTAGCAACTGCATTTGCGAGGGAAGTGCATGTATACGCTGAAACTGCATCTTCCGTAGCACTGAGACAGTACTTGTATATTTCTACACTGTGTTAGTTGGGAAGACACCAGCCGGTGCTCTGCAGAGCAAATTAGTGATTCGGAAGTATCTTAGAGTGAACAACTCACTGTCATGGACTAGAAGGTCAAAATGCGCAAACCAGATATTAGCGCTACGTACTCCAGTACAGTTGTGATGACCTACTAGGAGCCTGGTGCGATAATTGATGTCACAGCCTGGATCCTGCGTTTGCTTTTCGGGGCGTCCATATTTGGGAACTACTCCATAACACGTGCATGGTCAATGCGTCTTGACTTTTGATTGTTCACGAGAAACAAACGCGCAATAAAATAATCTTATACACTTGTACATTTTTTCGAATCGTTGTTGTCGTGCTTTCGATGTTCGATTGTTGGTTGTATTGGTTGCGACTCACGCGTATCATAATATTGATTAATCATTGATTATTCTTTGTGATATCGCTCACGTGACTTGGAATATTTACGGTGAAATCATGGTCTCTGCTGCCGGGCCACCACTACCTCCCCCATGCTATAAGATCACTACCAGTACCGGTATTGTACCAACAAGTCTCCCGAATCATCTGCGGGAAGTTTGAACGTTATAAGTGGTTCATTTTCGCGAGAGATTAGGAAGGAACCTGCCAGTGCAACTGTACTAGTACGTCTTGTTCAAACCAAGTGACCTGGTCATTTCTTATAGCCAGACACGCGCTCATAGCTGTTCATAGCCTCTGGTCCTCTAGCCGTCTGTTTGCTTTTCCCATTCGTATTTATTCGGCTGTGGGTCTACGAAGTTCTTTCCCAATGAATACCTGACTTACTAACTTCGTATCTCAAGTGACCACCTCGCTTGCTTCCTATACCAAGTATTAAGGTTCCCCACTCTACGCATTGCATTATTTAAGTATGCCGCAGGAGCGGGCACGAACCAAGATGGCCAAATCAACGAAAACACCCAAAGGTCAACCGACGCGCAAGCACAAGAAGCGGCGTCTCTCCCCAAAGGATCACTTCGCCCGTCTCATGAAGGAATCAGTGGAAGTTGCCCCCGAAGAAGTTGCTTCTACTGAGTCCTCATCTGCTGCATCTACTTCAACCACTCAAACTGCTCCCGCTCCCAACTACTCTAATATCCTTCTCATTGAGAAATTCCAGGATGCTCTCGATACTCGAACGGCTGTATGCCGCCGCCTCGAAATCCTCGTACGGAGCTCAACTTTGTACACCCCATCAGCACAAGCTCGTTTGATCAAGTGCTTACGGGATGACTACATCCGGGGGGACAGAACGAGGAAGGCCATTGACAATCTGCGACATTCTGATTTCATCAGCGCTACAAGCATGGCAAATCAGGATGCGGAATTCATTACGAAAGAGGTTATGGAGAGCACGAGATTGTTTTTCGAGGGAAGTAAGGAACTACAGGAAATAGGGGATCAAATTGCAACACAGTTCTCATAGTATTAGTGGGTTTCCGTCTCAAGCACTAATAATGGGTCTGGGCGCTAATGTTCTCAGCAGGTCACGAGTTCTGCATGTCTCGTGCTTAGTCGATGTCGCTTTCTTGCACCGAAATATCATAGCATATATTCTACTTGCACTCGCCCGTAACATCCTTTTTGTATGCACAAGAAACCATAATCAAGCTGCAGTGTTACGGGCCCATCGCTCTGCATGACAGCGTGGATCAATCCAAATAGCAGACCGGATCATGGGAAAGCACACCAGGCATATACTCGCAGGCAGTATGTAGGTCCAGCCAGTGACCTATTGCGTTGACAATGAGGTCTATGAACGAATTCACCGAGAACTATTGAGCACTGACATGAGTTGTAGCGGGCTTTGCCATGCATGACAGACGGAACCTTCCGTGCTGAGATGAACAGATGCAACCACAAGCTAGTCACGTAACGTCACTCTGACAGACACGCGGGAATCCGAATCTCAGCGCTACACTATTAGAGGCCTTTGTATGGGTCTTCTTACACGGTATCCTCTGTTTTCCCGCATCATCGTGCATCTCTGGAAGTGTTGGTTTGTAAAGCCTAAGTCTTTTGTTCGATTTCATTGATACAAGTTGCAAAGCCAGAATGAAATTTCCACTAGATGTATTGATGGTAGATATAGCACAGATATTCGTGTATGTTAGACGATAGCATAGAGAGCAATGGAAGGACTGATTGATGTAAAGTAGATTCCTGTAGTTTAAGGACCGACCATATGGTACAACGATGGCGAAAGCAAGACACAGGTTGAACGAGAGCCAACAGCGCAAGCTGCGAGATTAGTAGATTGTGCAGCTATGACAAGCTACTTGGTTTTCCAAGACAGCTTCCTCGCAACTAGTATTGCAAGGTCCTGCCGACGTAACGTGTGAGGGCGAGCAGCTGCTGTAAGCAAGAATAGAAAACGTACGATGATTAGAGTTGCGAAGCTTAGAGGCTTGACGTGAGGTTGGGCGTCAGTCTCGGCAACTTCAATAGCTTCCTGCGGGTTCTCAGCATTGGGATGCTGCTCTTCAGGGAGGTCGGGCTGCATTTGAGAATTGAATAAGACTACAAAATGACAAAAAGAAAACGCGTACAAAGTTGAGGATCACCGGTCCAGCACTGTCATCATTTTCAACAATATCGTACAGGCTGCTGGGACGATCATTAACAGCGTGCTTCGCGACAAGGGTCAAAAATAGCGCTGAAATGATGTTCGTGGCATCGCTCACCATAATCTCACGTTGGCTGAGTTTGACTCTCGGGTAAGGGTGGAAACGAAGCAAATAAGACGCCCTGTAGCTCGGCAATCTCATGTTGCTCATCGAATACTGGTTTATTACAAGTGAAAATGAAGGAAAAGGGACGTCGTTTACTTTGCGTGAAGCCATTTGGGGGTTTAAATAGCAGCGAAGATTCGATCGAACGAAAATAAATTGGGGCGGCCATAGTCTAAGTTCTAGAACTCCGAATTCGCAATCCCGACAGGGCTGAGTTAGTGCCGATTGCTTGGTGGGCGCTTGTTCCAGTGTGTCACTTGTGGATCTTCAAATTTGCAAATGTTGGTACGACATTTGCTTCCGCGGCACCAATTCTCAGCCCATCTTCATGAGCGACCTCAACCTGGAACAGCCATCTAAACGAGAGGCATGAGATGGCGCAGGAGGGACAGGATGATCGTGATTGAGCACCAGGTTGCTCCCTCAAAGCTACGGACCGCCGTTGCAGAACCTCCACGATACACGCCACGGACCTCGACATGTTCGACCGAGTATTATGCACTGCCTAGAGCATCATGAGAATGATGCACAAGCCAGAGTATCCCTGGCTGGAAAAGAAGAGTCAGTACATACGAAGCGTAAGTGCGTGGACTCTCTTATGGGGAGCTCTCTGTTGTACGGGATAAAATATATCTGTGATATACTGATCAACCATCCTGAGCAATCATATTCCTTCAACATGCCAGACAAAAAACACCCAATGTTGGGTTACTCGTTGTCAGCGAAGATAGCGTGACACAATGTGTGACACATTGCGTGACCAAAAAAGGGGCATCAAAGCAACTTTGCGCACGAGCCAGGCAAGTTTCCAACCACCATCATGAAACATGAACACGACTCAACAGCGTGCTCTCAAGCTCCCAAGATGTGTCAAGCATTGATATGAGTCAAGATATAGTCGCTATGGCTGCATCAAGATCGCCCCCCCCAAGTTTCAACTGACGCAATCGCCTCCATCAACATCAACCAGTGGTAACCAATGCCAACATTGATATGCCCCAGAAACAAAACATGGTTTGAGTGAACAAGACACTCACCAGTGACTATGAGTTGGCTCAATGCCCCCCTACATGCACCGTAAGCTGTCCCAAATTCTCCACAAATTTCCGCGCATCAAGACGTGAAGAATGTCGAACCGAATGATCCAACCTGAGAAGAAAATGCCATCAAGCTGCATAAACCATGAAGACCCCCAGCGCCGTTGCTGACCAAAAAACTGGCATTTTTCACCGTCGCGATGTGCAGTTCTTGCCTTTATCGACGCAGTTGGCAATGTCGAGCTGTGACCGATCTAACTTGAAGTGCGACCAAGCATCTTGCGTGCCCTCATGAGGGGCATGATACGTCCAAGGCGACTCTGATTTGCAAAGGGTCCATGGGTGCGTCAAGTGGTATCGAAGCCGCTCGTGTCGTTCTTCAAGATCAACAATTCAAGAAATTCGTTTACCCTCTTGCGTTTGCCTGAGTGGTTGAAGCTGAGCCAAATTTTGCGGGACGACAGTGGTTTCGTGAATGGTTCCGAATTCGTGGGTGTTAGGTCCACAAACTTGAAATCGAAGTGGCTCAGGACCCTGGGTGGACCGTGCACACAACTCCGCTCGCCAATTCCAGCCAAAGTTTTTGCAGCCTCCCTAGCCGATTAATCAATACCGGTCTCAGAAACCTAAGTATTGATTTATTTTAACGGAATTGTCGTCTGGGACCACACCACCTACGAATGCATGAAAGTTCTAGCAAGAGGACGACTTTGCCTGAGAACAATTCACTACAATGGAAAGACGATGGCTCAGCGTTGCACCTGAAGTTTGTCTGGGACAAGCTGGACCTCTACATATTTCTTCCTTCCTTATGATGCGTCCAGCAATTTCAACTTGCGTCAGGGCTTGATCACGAAGCGTTACTATCTTGATTTTCGTTACAGAACTACCGAAATATCGTTGCTCTGACTGAACCGGATGTTGTGCTGCTACCCTCCCACTGCCAACGGGCAAGTTGCCGTTTCCTCTGTACGGCGTTCGCTAATTTTTGATTCCGGGATGATTCCAGGCATTCGTCGTCAAGCTTTTGGTCCATATTCTATCACATTGTGATTCCTGCGCGGTGATTTCATGCTACACAAATAATACCTACACGAGCGGTCATCGCCAGTCACTGCCATATCTCTTGCACTGCGCCGAGAAATAGAGGAAGGCAAAATTCATCGGTGTTACATTTGAACGTCAGGACAGCCTATTTGCATTCTACTCCATGCTGGACGACCTCGTAATTTTTTGTCATTTTCCTCATTGTCTGCAGTGTCTGATCATTCGACTCCAGGCGACTTGGGACTTCACGCATTATTTTATGTGTTACGAAGTTGTGCAGGTCAGTGCCTCATCCATTTTTCGTACTCGACAACCTTTGCTGATGAGCTGTAGGCAATCAATTGCAAAAGATCCACATGATAGTGAATGCCCAAATTTTCCAATAGACGATGCAAAGACCTCTCTGCGCTATTGCCCACACGTTCTTGCCAAACCTACGACGTTTGGTTCGGTGTGACAACCGAGAGCACTTCTTGCCGCTGTTGTGCAACCCCCTTGGGTTACCCATTCCATTCTTAGAACTGGGATATACACTACCATCGTCTCGTTACCTAATTGTGATTTGTTGGTATCCCTTGGAGCTCAGATGCACCTTCGAAGGTCTATGTGACTTGCGGGAACTTTTCCGTTGTAACGCATGCCAGAGCCCCGATACACGAGAGCTTCTTCGCTTGGCTTCTCTACCATCGTCAAAGTCCCTCAAGGCATACCACGATAACAAGACCCAATTCAGTCCCACTCCGATAAAAAAAACTTTCAACCCGAGGAAGTGCACATCGCTGCACCATCACTTTCTGCCCTTAATCGCTGTCTCATCAGAGTCCGAGCACCTGACTTTAACGTAGTTGCCCCGTTGATGCCGTTTAGTCGCTCGACACGCTTACAGCTCGATTCCATATGTACCTCAGCCATCGATAATGCCTCACTCAAGACAATGGTGTGATCCTGCCTCAGCTCGAGGATTTTGGGATTGGAAGTGCGGGTCGTTATCCAGTCCTGCCATCTCTTACCTTCATGGGATTTACCCATCTTATACATCATTGCCCCCGCCTGCACACTATTGTTCTCTACGACCACTCCCAACGAGGAGATCACCAGACCTCGATAAACATGTCTTGAGTCTTCGATCCCATTGCCTTAGCCTGTGGACTTCTTGCCAAGTTTGATGATGCGGCTTGCCCTTACTACCGCCATTTGAACATCTCAAGGATAGATGGAGTAGGATGAATACGTTCCCGAGGGGTTGATGGACATCAGTGCGTTCTTACAGGATAATTTTTTTATCCTTGATTCTTGTCCGCTGGCGCCGAGCCCTACGATAGATACTACCTACACTATAGATATTATTACACAGAACTCGAGTCTGAGGATTTTTTCATGCATATTATTACACTGTTCGTACTTCCTGCTAACCTCGACCTTTAGCTTTTTACGGTATCTTTGGTTCCCTGTCGGGGCTCTATATACTCCATCACCATCTAATCCGTATCATGCACCTCTGCAAGTGCTGCAGCCATGGGTTTGTACAACCCATGTTCTGTGCCGAGTCCGTAAGTAAGCGTCATGCGCTCAAGAATAGAAGAGCCATTGTCAGCGTCTAGTTCGAGCTGCGAAGGCAATAAAAAGACATCACCATGTATTGTAGCACAGTAATAGTATGGAAATACCACACACCAACGCAATTATATCATCTAGTAAGTGAGCTTGCCCCACCGTCATACCGTGCAACCCGACATGACCAGTGTGGACAATGTGCACGTGAAAGTGGTCTGTGCAATAGATTAAATTGATCCTTGATCATCGAACAACTACTCACAATAACTCGGCTGATAATGGATGTACATCCTGACGCCACCACGGCCGATACCCCACTTACTCTGCACAACTCTCCAAGCATCTCTCCGCAGGTTCTTGAGCATTTCCAAGTGCGGCTTTTTGCGGAGATCGCGCATGCAGTGTACATCAGAGTGTGTATAAATTGCGAGGAGGTAGAGGTCGGAGACATTGGTTGTGTTCCACTTCATGTCGGGAAGGATGAGAAAGTCCGAAGAGGCATTTAGGATATTAGATGCTTCAGCGGTACCTACGAGGATGTCCTGGACCCTGGGGATGGGTTAGCTTGTGGGCTGCGACTGAGACAAGAAATACCATTGTGTGCGTGCGGGGTCGAAGGCGAGAATGTATGGTTTGACAATAGACTGGTAGAGGGCGGGGGTCTCGTGCACCATGAGCACGTCCTGCTTTGTATACTAATGCATAGCCATCAACCTGAATGATAACGGAGAAATGAATAAGACGGACCTTGCGGACGTGGACGTCAGTAGCGGGGCAGATGACATAGATCTTCACGTCAGGGAAGTCATCGCGCTTGTGAAGCCATGCAAAGAACCACGAGTACTGAATTACAATGGACAGATAAATCACTGTCTGGTTGAGAGGAAAAAGATTATGGGACATACAATGTCAGTGTTTCCGATCTTCTTGGTAGACTCAAGAATACCAGATGAGAGCTGGGAAGCGACAGTAGATGACAGGGACGTGCGCTCGAAGCGAAGGATGGCACGAAGAGGTACAGAGGGTGCCGATGACGAGGGTAATGTGCCCAGGACGGCTAACGTATGTGCGAGCGCGTCTAAGTTGTCATTATATGATCAAATTGTTGTTAGCGTCATGACAATATTACTACGCGTACTTTCATCCAGAACGCGGTCAAACACGAACTCTTTCAGGTCAACTTGAATACTCGCCGTATCACCAGTCATGATCAAGATTAAAGATTATCGAGAAATACGAAAATGGACAAATGGTTAAACTGAGCCCAAACTGAGCCCATGAACTAAGCCGTTACCAATGCATTCTGCCATCAACCGTCCAAAAGCTAGCCTGATTGGCACTCACTCAAAGTCTCCGCCAGATTCCCGCGCAAGCCTGAAGTCTTCATCTCCGACTCCGACCAAGTCTCTCAGGCTGGGTGCTTGCCATATCCCTGAGTTTATTGGCGGTGCTGCGTTAGCAAAATGTCATCTAACATGAACGGTGACTACCCAAAGACTTTCGTGCGACATACTTGACATCGTTCAATGCATCGCAAATTTCTGGCAGAGATTACGGTTCTTCAACCTGCTCGTTTCCGCACTGCTGCACCCGGAACCAATGTGTTCGTGCCAATCCATCCTCTGTACTAGACAGTACCGCAGCATGTACTATCCATTTTTCAGACTGAGACTCATCTACAAGTTTTGCAGATGCTCGTGCAACTAGATGATCCCCCATTTTATCTCCCGGTGCACAGAACAGCTTTGGAGCTGTCAAAAATTACGTTAGTTGGTCAGATGATGTATAGTTATCTTGACGAGGAAAATAGTCAGGGGCCATGGTTTTGTGACCTGATCCAAGGTTGCAATGTTGATATTCTCATGGCGGCCAATTCTCTAGGCCCTACTAGTATCTATATCAATGCCGGCCCGGTCCATCCCTATAAAGCTCAGTCTGGTGGTCACTATGTATGGCTGCCCGCTTATCCATCTTCCGCAGACTGGTACCACTGACCCAGGGTCACGGTGAAGTCTACCTCAGACAGTATTCAACAATGGCCTCCGCGAAAGTTTGGTTTAGTTAATCATTTTTACTACTGATTAGGATACGAAGCTGACAACCTTCGCCGCATTCAGTCACTGGTGCATCGGCTGGTCTAGGGCGCGAGGTTGTCGAATACGCTTTGAGCAAAGGAGACAACGTAGTTGCCACCCTGCGCAAACCATCGATGTTGGAAGACCTTACTGCTAAATACCCTTCTTCCCGCCTCGTCGCTTTCCCGCTCGATGTAACAGATACGCCCTCGATTACCACAGCGTTCAATCAGGCTATCTCGCACTTCAATCGTGTCGACGTCGTGCTGAATAATGCAGGATACTATATAGTATCAGAAACTGAAGGCATGCCTCACAAGGCCGCACGAGAAATGCTCGATGTGCTTTTCTGGGGTGTGGAGAATGTCATGCGTGAAGCCATTCGATGCTTCAGGGACGTGAATCGTCCCATAGGAGGTCGAATATTGAACGTTTCTTCCCGGAATGCCTTTATTCCACAGGTTGGCACTGTACATTATGCTTCGGCGTAAGTTCATGTATTGTGCACAATTTTCCTCGCAGGTTAACATCCAAATGATAGTAAAGCTGGTAGGTAGGCTCTCAACTTCATCTTAAAGATCTGAAGGTCAACTGGGTGTCGTTAGCGTTGGAATGTTTGACAGAAGGGTATATCGCCGAACTTGACCCGGAGTGGCAAATTAAAGTAGGTCGCTTGTATCGCTCAATTTTGGAACTTAACATAATTTACCTTGACAAAAGATCACCCTAATCGAGCCTGGCCTTTTTCGTACGTCGATGATTCAAAGCCGTATGACAGAACCGGTTCACCCTGCTTATGAATCGAACCCGACCCTCCCAAGTCGCAAATACCGAGCTCTCTATCCTGACATCGAAGACACACATTTTGATGGCGATCCGGCTAAGTTTGCAGAAGTAGCCTACAAGTTGTCCCGTCTGGATGACCCCCCAATGCGCCTCCCTTTGCACAGGGTCGCATTAGAATCTGCGAGAAAGAAGGGGGAATCTTTACTCGAAACTGCCGAAAATTGGTCCAGTTGGTCGGACGATGTGTACTTGCATAAATGAATGAAAAATCAGTGTCATATATTTCTGGTATGTATCAGGTTGTCGGGACATCGATTACGAGTATATATGCACTATAGATAATATTTTAGGCATGAAATAGGAGATCAATAGTTTAAAGTGTGTTTCCCTCAAGCTCTGGGTGGATACGCATTCTGCATATATTTCACGACTCTCTTGCACCGAAGTACTTTAGCATATATTCTACAGGCACTTTCCCGTAACTTCCTTTCTGTGCGTATTGGTAGACACCATGATCAAGCGGCATTATCACGAGCCCGTCGCTTTGCACGACAGCGTGGACCAATCCAAATAGCAAGCCAGATCATGGGAGAGCACGCCAAGCATATCCCTGCAAGCAGTACATAGGTCCAACCAGGACCTATCGCATTGACAATCAAGTCTACGACAGAGACCATCAAAGCACCCAAGGAACATCTGACCAAATTATTCTGAAACGAAGGAATCAAGATTGTTGATAAATCGAGCGATAATGAAACTTACACATGCGGTAATGGAAGAACTCTGGGATGGTAGTAGATCAATGAGTAGCGTCTGCACGCCATTCATAGTAGCGACGACTGTATAACCAACTGTTGATTCACATAAATAAGGGTATAGGGGGAAGGAAAGGCAAAGACGTACATATAACTTGCAGGATCAGTGGAACTGCGATATTTGTCTCCTGTTGAAGAGACCAGCCATAACCAGCGCATGTCAAGACAAAAATTGCGGTAAATATGGGCATCATCCTTAGCCTGGCTCTTTCTATTGGAAAATTCTCCTCCCTGGTCACGTCCTCGGGCCGTATGTGCTTCTCAGGATCTTCTTCAGCCTTCTTCACGAGCCTATTCTTGGTTCTTTGAAAATCAGCGTCTAGCATTTTGCCGGATAGGACAGTGCCAATGGTCATCCCCCCACCAATCGCCAGGAAACACAATCCTATATCTATCTCGTTCAGGAACGGGTACTTGTTTGCGAATATCGTGGATATCGTGGTATTTACCGCATAGAAGACGGCGTATATAACTGCATTGAATACGAGAAGGTTCAGAACGTCCAGATAGAAGAAGAGGCGTAGCGGATTGTTCAGTGCGGGCTTGGGAGGCTTTGGGGCATCACGATCTACACGCCCTTTCCCAACAATTGGCACGAGGGGACGATAGAAAGCTGATGGTATCACACTGCCATCACCCACCAGTCGACGCAGTGTCTCAGGTAGGAAACTATAATATGAATGAGGTTAGAGAAACGCTGTATAAAATGGATTGCACACATGAGCATAAGAGCAAAACATGCGACAGACATGATGCATAGAAACCAGAAGATAGACCTGTAACGCATTCAGCTACATTCGATGTACCTGATAAGAACCCACCTCCATCCGAGCTTATCTGCAAGGACACCACCAATAACAGGTCCCAGAGCAGGTCCAACCTACGCGGGTATTAGAGTGTATAATGCAGCAAAAGTAATACGTTATGTACTTGTGGTCCCAAGGTAAATAGGCCGAAAAATCCCCCGCGTTCTGCGGGAGTTCCTATATCTCCAACTACCCCAGCACCTATAGCTACGGTAAGATGAAAAGGTATAACAACGAAGCTCACACATACCTAGTGCAACTGTACTGGCAGAACCAGCAGCCTGGACGCATCGTAAGAGCATTAGTAGCCAGTATGCCGAGGTCGGGACCAACGCCAGGCCGATGCAAGATAAACACAGGACAAGGAGACAAGCGAGAAAGATGGGACGTCGTCCAAACCTATCCGCCATGGTTCCCCAGAACATAGGAGCTGATATGGTTTGAAGGTAATTATTCCTCCCATAAACTTTCGATTTATCTGCTTACAGATGCCTTGAAGGACCATGTAGGCGGTGACACTTAGGTTGATTGATTCTATAGATTTGTGAAAAGCTGAAGCGATCGTCGGTATTGCAGGAAAGTACACATTTGCAGTTAGCGGACTAGAGAGAGATGGTCAGAATGGCCCTCTGGTTCACGCACGGATGAAAATACTGCACCTAAACAATGCAGCCAAAGAGGCTATCATTACAATGAACCATTTTTCTTGGCGAGTGTATATGCTATATAGCTTTTCTGCAGCTTGCTTGTTGACCTCCTGTTCCTCGAGTTCATGTGTGGCAGCACCCCCAGCCCCGGGGGAGGTTAATGAGATATGATGAGTCTGTCCAGCGTGGGCCATGATCCAAGCGCCAACCACCCCACTAGATCTATGGTAAACTCGAGGCCTTCAGGTCGGAATGATAAAGGAACTCCCTGACTTACCAAGGCCGCCTGCCAGTGCTAGCCTATTTATGGCTAAACGACATGAGTACGTACTCAAGTCACGGTGCCGAACCTGACTGTATCAACCGTTCCGTCTTGGGCAAGCACGAGGTCGGGAAAATTGGGATGACAGAATAGCGCTCACTGATTGGCATGACGTTGCACATGACACTACACCAGATTTCGAGGCAAAATAGTCCCCGGCGTCCGGCGAGATTCAGAACGTAGCGTGACTTATGCGTTTATCAGTACGGCAATATGTAAGTTGCCGTATATAAACACATGCCCATTTGCATGCACATGCTTTGCCGAAGTAAAGTGACAAAGTCAGTATGACAAGTCATTTTGTATCTTGCGCATATCTTCTTCACCTCGTGGCACGTTGACGCCAGACGCCCAGTTCACATTCAAAATCTCCAAAGATGTCAGATATATCTGCGACTCGGTACCCAGAGCGTCTCGGAGCGGCCAAGGGTCCGTAATTCGGTTTTGGAATCAACGGAAGAAACTTGCTGACTATGTCGGGTCACTTGCACTACCAGCGCTTGTAACAGCGACGGATTGGACTTTTTTCAGGCTCAGATAATGGTGCTTCAAGAGTGTGGTTCGCCAGATTTCGCGGAAGATGTAGAGGTGGTCGTAAAATCATGCACTCCTCGTGAGCCACTTGTCCTAAGCAGCGTCAAAAGGGCCGAAGATTCGACAAGGTAGAAGTCTTGGCCTCAAAATGCAGTCAAGTCAATGTGTCGACAAGAGAAATTTCGAGAGGATCATCGCGGGCCAGAGGTACGATGTCACTTGTCATTCTTTACAGGGAAAAGATCGGGCGGAAGTAGCAACCGTCTCGACCTATGCGTGGTAGAAGCACTGCAATCACGAGACTATATTTGATACAATAGAGTATCATCCTTGTGTAAGAGTAGGAATGACAATGACCACTGACCATACTATCCAGTCCAAGAGCGTTGATGATCTGGTGGAAAGATACATAATCGCAACAAAATTCTCCAGTCTAAGTGCAATTGTCGCCAGCTGTAGCAATCCCATAATGTGGTGTCTTCAACCTCACGCGCAGCTCAAAACAGCTGTCCCTCGGATTCCCTCAGACTGGAGACAGCAACTGCGGCGACCGTGACAACCTAGAAGATCACGATTGTGTTGCTATGGTGCCAACAAGTGTTCAACCGATGACTTTTGCATATATAGCCAGACGGAGGGAACTGGTGGAGTAGCGAAAGCTCAGTAGCGAAGCTATTGAAAAAACAAGTAAACAGTATGGGTACAATAATTTAGCAGATCATTTACAAGACACAAAAGTACATACACCAACCACGATGAAATCTCAGTCCGCGTCGGCAACCAGGCCGCCTCTTCCCCGCTTAAGCCTGTCTTCTAAACCACCTATGCCACCAAAGACCTTCTTCTGTTCTTGCCCTAAGAAGCCACCCATGCCCTTTGACTTTGCGCGGGCTCGCTCCTCCGCTTCCAGGTTAGCCTTCTCTTTCTCAAGCAGTGCCATGAGCCGCTGCTGCCGCTCCACCTCCATGTTCGCGGCACCCGACTGCATGGCGGCTAGTTTTGCAGCACGGTCTTCCGCGGCATTGGGTAGCTGCTTCTTGGCGGAAGGTCCGGGGCGGGAATCAGATCTCGGAGGACTATAGCGTGAACGCTTCGGGTATGGGTTACGGTGCGGAGGACTAGGACTGCGTCTCCGTTTCCTATCATCTTCTATCCGTTTGCCACTACGCTCGACACTTCTGCGACGCCCATAGCCATTGTCGTCTGATTCGTCCGAGCGTGGCCAAGTTCGGACGCCGTCGTCGAGAGAGTTACGACCTCTGCGGTAGCCAGGGGAACGACTTCTGCTTTGTCTCCGATAATGGCGGTCATCGTCAGCATCGTACCGACGATCATTCCTCTTGTATTCCCCTACAGGACTTCTTGACCTTGATCGGTCCAGCCGTTCCTTGGCAAGCCGTTCTTTCTTTTCCTTCTGCTCTCGCTTCTTCTCTTTCTTATCTTTCTTGGGCTTTATACCATTCCGTTCCTGCATTTCACGAAGACGGAGGGGGTTAGACATAAGTGCCTGGTATGCAGCCTGTTCTTGCTGCTTGATAGCGAGTAACGGATCTTCACGAATCTTGGCGGCAATGTCTCGAACATTATTAGCATTCTGAATGGCGATGAAGTTCTTGTGAGATGCGCCAAGCTACAAAAGTCACTTGTTAATCTGTAAATGAAAGCCATAGACATCATAACATACCTGTGCGTTCTCATCGGCCGTCAAGATCTTGTCAACCCGCTTTTTACCCAGCAGGTAGTCCTCTAAATCGTTTGCGTTCTGATTAATCCCAGTCGCAGGCGTCGCATACATCCATTCTAGCTTCTCAGTTTTTCTCTTTCCTGTTTGCTCTTCTTGTAAACGTTGCAGTTCCTGCAGCTGCCTTTCTTCCTCCTTCTCTTTGCGCAGCTGGTCAAGTTTCTTCTTCTCCTCGAGCTATGAAACAGAGTCAGCCAAAGATGATCCCACAAGCACTATTTGGCACTCACAGCCTTCTTCTCCTCGAGCCAGACCCGCTCCTGATTCTTAAGCAGGAGCGGATGCCAAGACTTCTTCATGTTCAAGTCTCCACCACCCATCTTTGCTAGTTTTTCTTCTTAAAGCGAGGTTAAATGAGAGGTGTTCCGTGGCGATGAGCAAAGGACCGAATGGATCAGTCCGACGTTGATTCAAGGCTCCAAGAGTATTGAGTCCCCCGCTTACAACACTTTTATTTGCAGTTGTTTGGTATACTGCGTATTCTTCTCGGTTGCTGTTTGTGGTACGTAGCAATATGAGCCTCATACCACAAGGTCCACAACCATAAAGCCTGCTTTGCCAACCATGCCCGACGTGTACGAGTCGGCGGAGTCGGATGCCTTGAATGACACCTCGAACGGTGCAGCACAACCTGTGTATGTATACTGAAGTTACGCATATTCTAGTCTGCTCATGTATTGCTTGATACCTGTAGTCCCACACGATCCATTTATGCGCTAACCCGCAAAGAAATAACCCGCGGAATTGCGAATCGCTTTGTGCACTCGCACACGTACATATTTCTCTACTTGTCCATGGCGGCTCTGTCCGTGACAACCGTCGTGCTGAGTTTGTCAGACGGATGTCCAGGGTTGTCGTTCTATATATTGGAGATAATAATTAACACGAGCATGATCCTGGAGGTTGGCGTGCGTTTCGTTGCGTTTGGTCGGGTGCGTATTTGTTCATGTTTGAATTTCGGTCGCCGAGGTGACTTGACACGAGCAGCAATTCTGGAGATCACCGTTTAATGTGTTGGATCTGATACTCACATTGTTCTGTGCGATCACTTTGTTGGTCATAACATTTGCGGGGTGTGGGGCAGGGAGTAAGGAAGAGGAGTTGTTGGACACTCTATTGCTTATTGCACGTAATGTCCTACAATTCGGCCGTCTAGCGGCGGTCATGCGACAGTGTGTACCAAATATCAGTTTACGCATCGTACATTAACCTCGAAGACAGGTCCGGCCAGTCCATATTTTCCAGGCCAAAGCCAATCGATATCTCCGCAATCAGGAGGGCAGGCTATAGTAGCCTCGACTATGATTTGGAAGATGACGATCAAGATGATGATCCAGAACTGGGTCGACCACTTGTACAAGATGCAGTATTATTTGATGCACAAGACGACGAACAACTCACTCGCACGTCAGATATGCCACGGGCTGCGCAGGCTGTACACGAGCGTGATGATGAGGATGTCTGGGCGGAATTGGGTTGAGGCGAGGGGTGATCCACGGCCTAAGTTATACATTCGATTCGATTCTCTGCGACACACTCTACTCGGATAACCTTGTCATAGCTTGTCATTAATTCTATCTTCACCAGTTACAGGCCAAATCAAAGGTTGGCACGGATCATCCCGGTTGGTACTACTTAGCGATTTCAGGTCCGACTTATATTGGGTATCAGACAACGTCGCAAACTTCCACCCAGGCTTGACGTGTTTCTATACAGTTATCATGAGCAGTTCGCTCATCATCATGGGTGTTAGGCTTGCTCCTTGGTGCTTTGTATGTGAACTTCACTCTAACGCTCATTATAATTTAAATGACCATCGGGACCGCGGTACGCCACTCGAAAGCACTAAGGGGAGCCGAGGGGTCTGTGACTTCATTTCACTTCCCAGGGCTAATTACTTCATGAACTTGGTTACCACGTTCTCACAGGTCCAGGATACATATACCCTCGTACTACATATTTGAGGTTATGCATCATGTCATTCGTTGAATCGGTGTAACAAATCTAAGCTAAACTTATTATCTTCGTACTGGTGACTAACATCGAAGTCTTCCTTGTGTGTTACGGGCACTAGAACCATGAAGTGCTGGCGTATTCCATGAGAGTTTACTATGCACGGTGTCCTAAGAAACTGATTTCTTCCTTGCAACACATGATCGTGTGACATGATTTTATTACGTATCTACTTTCAAGTCAAAGCGTCGGTTTGCATCCGCTTGTCCGACGAATATTACACGGTATCTACGGAAATCAAACGTTTTGATTGCCTGCTTGCTTGGCTGCTGGTTTTTTCTTTCCTTCATTCATCTGCTCCAGCAAGCACTTCAAAGCAGCAGTGTATCACTGGGATTTAATGTCCTCCGTCCTTTTCAGTTCAAGTCTGCTTGTATTCTAACAATCAAGATTATTACCCCTCAGGACGGATTCGCTGTATAATTTATACGCTGCCAGGGTATAAGCCCTCACACTCTTTTACTCCTCGTCATGTCTTCCGCTCGACATTGGTTTTCAAAACGTGTCACAACTCCCAAATCTCCTACTTCCAATGACTTTGGCCGCTCAACAGTACCAACTGAAAAATTCCCGGTGCATGTCGAAAATTCAATGCCCTCTGATAGCTTCAAATTCATCCCTTTTGCGTCTGTCATGGGCAGAAAGTCCAAAAAGTCGCGTCCAACTTTAGCTATTCCTGATTCTCCAGTACCATCCCTCGTTTCTGCCCCTACAGTCTATTCGAATCCTGACCGGTACACTAATAGACCTCCCGCCAAATCTATTTCATCTACTATCCGCTCTGGAGACGACTCCTTTGAACCTAGGACCCCACCTGATGTCCAGACAGATCGTGTTTCATTTCCCCGCTCAGTTTTGACACTATCGGACCCTGATCCTTTCGCATCAGGCGGTATCTCTGTGCCCCGAAGCATCTTAGACCGGGGTAACATGTCTGTTTACTCCAACACTTCAGCACATGGTGTAGTTTCAAATAAAGACGAAGTCGATTTTTTGCAGCATCCATCACATCTCTCCATGTCCTCACAGTCTCACAGCGACAGTAGCAATGCGACACCATCGCTGGAATCTACTGGGCCTTATTTGTCTCCTATAGCAGATGGTCAGGGCACGTCGCCTAGGTAGGAACTTTTTGCTCTTGCAGAAATTTTCGTCCTCAACTCATTCAGTAGAGAAACGTTCAAGAGAAACGAGATAATAGACAGTCAAAAAATCTTAGAAAGCCCTGTGCATTGCAGTCCTTTGGATGTACCCTTTCAACCTTCGCTGTCAAAGCAATCATCTACGGTAACCTTGACTGATCAGAGTCACAAAGGTCCCCCAGATTTTCCTGCTGTGGCTGTACGATCCACAATGTGTCGAAGAGGCTATACGGCGCCCAGCCCGTTCCAGGCTGCGAGTACTGTGTCTCAGCCTCGAAAAGGATCCACTCCTCCCTCCACCGAAGTATACGTTCGCTCTCGTACCCTCAGTCGCCAGCAATCCACCTCTCGTCCTGCTCCGGCTCGCGAACTTCCCCCACCTCCTATAATGTCACACGTCACATCCAACCCCGCCGACGACGGTGCCGAAGATAGATTCCCGTTATTGGCGGATGGGAGTTCTTCTTCCGGCATATCGTGTGCTTCACCCACCTGGCGAATCCAAGACCTGGCAATGGAGGACATTAATGATCAACGTTATAAAGAGATTAGCCTAGGCTTTGATCATGACTTCGAAACTCAGCATCAACTGGTAAAGGAGTCGAGCCGCATGCATGCCAGGAACACCACAGAATCGCCTCCACCACCACTAGCTTTCCACCAGCTGAAGAAGTCTATGTCGCATTCAACCCTGCAAAAGGCTAAATCGGGGTCCGGCGGTACGCAAGAATTCTTTAAAGGAGACAAGGGATTGAAAAAACAACACTCCTTCCATCGTTCACACGCTCACACACCCCCTACGTCTACGCCAGCCTCCCCTTCCACACCATCCGATTACGATCCTTTATTTGCTGAAAGTCGTATACCACCGCTCCCACATCCTCACACTGTCGTGCGAAAACGTATGTTTTCAGGCTCTAGGAAACCGTCAACAATAATCACAGATGAAGATTTACGCTCGGTATTCAGTCTTCCAACAGAAGCAGGACGCTCCCACTTAGCATCGCCCAGAGCTGTTGTGTCCCTGCTCGATGAGCCTTCTTCAGATCCGCTTTCATCGGACATATTTTACCCAGCTGCGGAGTTTTCCCCGCAATATATTATGTCCCCCGCGGAAATGTTGAAGATGGAGGCAATTGTGCAGGGTGAATTTGACGCGAAGTACGGAGAGGCTCTACGAAATCCCCAGCGTGTCACGTTTGCATCGACGCCTATGTATGGTACCATGTACAGGAAAGAAGGCCTGAAGACGGCTCTGTCATCTGTTCCGCGTTTGGCTCCTACTCGCAGCGTATCAAATGTTTCCAAAGGCCCCACACCTAGATCAGTTCCACGTCCCTCCACTGCACAAACGGCTTCTTCGACGTCGACGTCCCGATCATCATCCACCAAAGCTAGTCTATCACCCCCACAACGTCCACGAGCTCGTCCACATACCGCTGAAACGATGTATCATGAAGACCTATTCAGCAGACGATCAAGCAATGTCCCATTCATCCCTCTATCGCCCCCGCCGCGGCGCCCAAAGTGTGCAATTGCAATTCAAATGCCGTTGCTCTCGGGCGACACAACGGTACCGCAGCGATCCGTAATTAGGAAACCCTCCTTCCTGGAGATTGCAGATGACGCTAATTGTTGTGAAGGCAGCTTCCTGGATTTTGACAGCGGCAAAGAGTCTTTTGATCTCTCCCGGGACTTCGACTGACGAAGATGGGGATTGTATCCCCATTCGATGCAGCCCTTTTCCCGATAGACACGTTCTTTTAAACCGATCAATTATTCAGTCCATTATTCTTACGCTACTTACACTACTGCTCGAATATTAACATACTGACATTTCAACGCATTGTCTTACTAGTTTAAGCCGTACTACATTTCACTCCCTCGTCATTACCCCTAAGAACCACTTATATCAAGGGTCTGTGTTACCGTCGTTTGCTAGGCACATGCTTTCGCTTTTTAGAGCGGCAAGAGTGTTCGACCAATCGCAAGGATCCTTTCGAACGAAGCCATTGAATTATGTGGTTGCATTTAATATTTGGGTCGCAGATCCTCCTGGCAATTCCACAAACAAAAAATTAGAAGAATACTATCTAAGTGGTACATCATATCCCGATCATCCATCAGTCCGTTTCATCAGTATGATAACCCGCACGCCTCATCGCGCCTAGAAGATGTCTCGCCGCGCCAAGGTCCTTCTCCAGTTTCAAAATCTCGACTTGCTGCTCCATCTCGCGTCTCTTGAACTCCAGTACAGCCATGTTCTTGTAATCCATCTTCTCTTCAACTACCTGCTTCGCAGAAACTGCCTTCACTTGTCTGACAAGCGCTTTACATGCTTCTGTCACCGCTTTTGCAGCAAGCTCGAGGCGTTCCTGAGTCTTAGACATCAAGTTGGCCTTGACACGGGAGGCTGCAACGAGTTGGGCGGTGGCTGCCGCTACCTCATTCGAGGCCACGATCAGTTGTTCAAGGGAATGTGTGCCTGACAGCACACCATCCGCGCTCTCTATGAGAAGGTTGGTAGCAAATGCCACAGCTTTAGCAGCTGAGATAAGACCCTCCGTCCATCTGTTGTTCCGCTTGTAGAACTGCTGGACTGAGCTGGAGCCCTTGCCTTGTGCAACGATTTCTTGTTGAGACTCTGTGGCAGCTTTGATGAGTCTTGCGATGGCGCTTGTGATAGCCATAGCGGCGGACAGGATGGAATCATGGACTTGCAGATCAACTGCGCTGAACCGTGCGGAGTCGCGGGGCCGGGACATGAGCTCCTGCAAACGCTGAGTAGCAGCTTCTATGGCTGCTGCAGCGCTTTGCATTTCGTGCTCAACAATGTCACCGATGTCACCATTGGCCCGTGCCAAAGTACCGCCCTTGGTACCTTTGGGTATGAGCGTGTCAACGACTTCTGAAAGACGGGTAAGGGCGGTCCGCGCTTCGCTGTTGTTGCGCATCGAAACTTCCTTCCGTTGCGCGGGTTGCAGAAGATCAAGCTTGTAGGACTGTAGGTTCAAGAAAAAGCGCAGGCCAACATCGCCGGCGCTCTTAGCTATTGCAACGATCTTATCCGAGGCATCATCGTCGTTAGCGAGTCGTGTGACACCCTTGGAGTTGATGAGAACATCTGAAAGGACCTGCGCGAACTCATTGGCGCCTTTAATAACGTCGACGTAATCCCCTCCGACATCGCCGCTGAGGTGGAGATTAAAGACCATCGCGAAATCCGTGGCGTTATTTATAGCCTTCTCGATCATTGACAACGTGTACTCGGGCGTGGAATTGATATTGCCAGCTTGAGTTGGCGATTCAAGCTCGTAAATGGCGTCATCGACTTTCTGCACGCAAGCCTGTAAGATTGAATCTGCAACACGAGTGAGCTTGTTATGAGGTACATATAGCGCATGAATGGTACGAACCGATGACCTGGTTGAGCTTCTTTCGGTTGTCAAGGATAAGGGTGTCGATTTGAGCATTCGTTGCTTCTTCGCTGAGACCTTGGTTCTGCAAGAATGCCATCAGCATCAGTGAATGCAATGGAGGGACTCAAACAGACCTGCTGTGCTTCAGAAAGCGATTGAATGGTGGTATCCATACCCTCTTGAAGAATCAAAATCTCTTGATCCTTCTCATCTCTCAAACGCTCCATGTCACCACTAGCGTTGTTGAGTTTTACGAGCAGGTCATCGATTTGCATTTGCTTAGACTGCAACAAAAATGTTAGAGAAATCAGAGAATATAATTATAACATACCCGTAATGAGTCCTCGAGCTCTGTGAGTTGACGGTTATACTTGCCCAACACACTCGATACCTCCGAACTCTTGGAGCGTGTTGCGTCCTCAGCGCGCTCGTTAGCAAAATTGATCTCGCGGCGCAGGCGGTCAATTTCGTCTTTGTTTGAGGATTTCTGGCGGTCAATATCAAAGCGTGCCCGATCACGCTCGCGAATCATATCAGCGAGTTCAATGTTTTTAGCCTTCAGATCGCGTTCCATACGCTCCATGCGGTCCACAGCCTCCTGCGCTGAATTAGCTTTGAGTTGCAGTTGCTTGAACTTCGAAAGCATGTCCAGGTGTTCAGTCCGTAGCTGGCTGTAGAGTTTTGCCAATGCTTCGTATTTGTTCCTCCAAAGGGTCACTTGGTCCTGGAGTTGCTTGATTAATTCGTCCTTCGATGCCATTTGTGCATGAATATTGGACGTTACTCCGCCGAGCTCGCCCTCCAGCGCTTTCACCCGCTATAGAATTTATGAGTATGTGGAACATAAGTCACACATATTACTTACTCGATCGTACTGTTCCAGAAGTAGTTGGTCGCGCTCGTACTGCCCCCTCATAGCCAGCAGCTCGCGCTCATAATCACTGACCTGCTGAGCAGCTTGGTTATTGTACTGCATCATCTGCTGCTGCATAAGTTGTTCCTGTGCAAGGCGCTCCCGCTCTGCCTGTTCCCGTTGCCGTTGCTCAAACTCACGCTGCTGCTGTGCCTCGAGGTCTAACCTCTGACGTTCCTCAGCTTCACGTTGTGCACGTAGAGCAGTCTGCTGGTCTTCATACTGTTTGAGCATACGGGCTTGTTCATTAATAACAGCTGCATCAGGTGCAGGTGAAGGTGCAGCTAGGGGAGGAGCTGGCGAAGCTGTAGTAGTTTTGGGTCTCGCAGGGAGGTCGGGAGCACTTCCGGTATCCAACAGGTTCGGAGGTTCCTATCCGGGATATCAATTTGGGACATGGTAGGAGCCTTCATAGCGTACCTGACCCAATTTAGGAACATTGATCAAGCCAGTCAAATATTTGAGATTTGAACACTCATAGTAGAATTTTCTTAAATTATGGTGTTGCGAGTTGAACCGCTGGCGGAGGGGTTCCAGTGCGTCGTGATCATTCGTTCCTGAAAAGTCGATGAGCTTTGACGACACGTAGCTGTGATGTCCTTACTTCGGTGCATAGCGCGAAGCATGCTTGTGATGAATCGATAGATACCCCAACTTTCCTTAACTAGGGGCACTAGTGCAGAGATACGACATTCATTATTGGCAGAATGCCTGAAGTGAGAAAACACCATCCGCTGGAATGATTCGATTTGGTCTTGAAGACCCATGAGGTCTGAAATGGTTTCATAACTATTGGAGTTGTCGACATGAATCAACATCTAGTGATGGGTGAATACTCACCCCTCATTGGGGTCATCGATACCTTTCAACGAAATGTATTCCTCGTATTCAAACAATCCATTAAATTCTGGTCTCAGGCGATGGAAACGCAATTTGGCCAGAATAAACTGGACGTAGGTTCTGATTAATGGTCCATAACCTATGGACAGGGTCACATGACATACGTGACTCAAAAGTAGAAGCCTTACCGCGTTGACCCTCTGCAGCAACAGTCCTGGCGCAAGTCTCCAACCATCCCGCTTGGCCGTGAGCCTCTTTGATCGTCTGAGGGAGAACCGATAGTTAGATGCCGGCGGCCATCGGCGAGTAAGTCACACACCACAGGGTGGCCTTCTTGTAATACTTTATGTACAGTAATCAGAGCCTTGAAAGTTTGGACTTCGTCGGACAAGATAGGTTGCACCCGTAGACCACTCCAGAAAGATATTGAGCTATGGTAATCCCAAGTGTAGACGATACATTCTTTGATGAAATTAACGAGACAGCTGATTGAGAATAGAAGGTTAGACACGCACTTCGGACATGTTTCTGCTTCGGAGCTGACTCCTCTGGGCTTGTTGCTTTCTTGATGTTAATCACAAGCTCGTTCTCTGCCTTGTCCTTGTCGACCGGCCTGGTAGGGTAGTGAACCTCGTCACCATCAATATCGAAGTTCGGACGTCGCCTGGTAGACCTGCATGATCTAGTTTGTGAGTCATCTTCAAACCGTCAATTGCTTGGGTTCAACATACATATATGCCCAATGCCAATAATTAGATTGAAGAGAAGAAGTGAACTTTGACGAGAGAAAGCCCCGCAGCCATGTCAGCAGCCGTGGGAATTGAAGCCTACTTACCAGTACTAGTTGTACTAGACCGTAACCTGCTTCTCTTACAAACATGCTGCAGCGGTTGGCTGCGTCAAGATCAAAATGGCGGGATACGATTATAAAAACGCGTCGATGGCTTCATAGCGAGGACTCACAAGCAGCACAATCCTATACCGCACGCAAGAATTCTTGGTTTAGTCCAACGATCTTAGTGCTAGGATTTATTCCAGTTTTCACCTTCGCCTTGGGAACCTGGCAGATGCAACGTTTACAATGGAAAGTGGCCTTGATAGATGAGCTTCAGGAGAAACTCCATCGAGAGCCTATCTTTCTTCCCAAGCGAGTAAAGTGCGTACATTCCAGCATCATTACTGAGTCGAGGCTGAGTAGATTGTCGAGTAAGTCTCTCTGTAGTGCCAGAATTCGTATATCGTCGAGTGTTGCTCCGCGGTATATGGGATCACAAACACTCGATGCTTCTCGGTCCTCGCGTCCGGGAGGGCTCGAATGGATATCATGTCGTCACACCATTGATCAGGTCTGACGGATCAACTGTCCTCGTTGACCGCGGTTTCGTTGCAAAAGAGTTTGCCGATGCCAATACCTTCGAAAGAGGGGAAACAGGCGAGATTGTAATATTGGGGATGTTAAGGACATCGCATACCCGAAACAGTTTCACCCCAGACAACAAACCAACTGAAGGAACGTGGTACTGGGCTGACGTCGATGCTATGGCAGACTACGCTGGTGGCGAAGCAAAAAATGTACAGCCAGTATTTGTAGAACAAATCTATGGTACGCATTCGAGTGTCCACATTGTGCCGGCTACCAATACTAGATTTCAGAAGGCTCCTCTCAGGACGCCACGTTGCGCCTGAATAAAGGTATCCCACTTGGACGCGCAGCTTCTGTTGACGTTCGCAACGCCCACCTTTCATATGTTATCACCTGGTTAGTACTGGTTCGAAATCACACATGCCATTGGTATACTGATGAACCATAATAGGTTTTCCCTCTCTGCCTTCACTACAGCTATGTTAGTGCGACTTGTATTGAAGCGAAGAGCTCAAAATCACCACCGCCCACTACCAAGGCAATGAACATTGTACAGACGAAGACTGCAGGGTGATTCCCGCGAGTTATAGTTTATCGTTCTCTCGCCATGTCTCTCCACCAGTGACTCATCACACCTCGTACAGTGTGAGATAACCAGAATAGAGTTGCTTATTATGCATTGAAGTGAGCACTGTTGAAACTACGACGGATACCCACTGTGGACACCAGTGCCACTGCGGATACCTCACAAGCGTGCTGCCATCTTCTTAGGTCTGTGTCAATTTCCATGTCATTGTGCCACTATTGCTTGCATTTTCCACCACCCAATAATGAATTACCACTCTTCAGAACTGTGAATGGATGCCACTCGCGTACGCGCTTGCCAGTACTGCTCACCTATTTAACTTCCTCGTTTCTCTGTAATTCAACATCTCATCCCCAAGTCATCATCTATCTTCCTGTTTCCTGTTTCCTATAACCGCTGCGATGTCTTTTAACAGTACTGCTCTGTATAGCTGCCCTCAAACCATCCCTTCATCATACCGGGCTCACTACGAGCCACCTTCCCCGCGCCGGCCGCGTGCTTCCACGATGACACGAGATGCAAACACTCAATGGCATCGTAATGCACAGCGAATGCCAGGCTTGTACGCGACAGACAACTTCCAGCCACCTATCCTGAGCCGAGAGTATTCATCCATGTGGGATGATGTCGAGGTTCAGAACGATTGGGCTAATGCAGCCAGAGAGCAAGGTATGTCAATGTTTTTATTTACTCATGATGTGTTGGTACGATCTCATGGCGCAATCCAGAGTACGCGTGTCAGCTGCAAGTCGAGTGTTCCCTTAATTATGAGCAACACGCTCGTAAGAACAAGAAACACAAACACGTCTTTATGGACACTGAACGAGGGCGCTGCGCATCTATTGACAGAAAACGTACACAGCATGAATCTGTTGATCGCGAACAAAGAGGTCGCGCGTCCATTGACAGAAAGCGTGCACGGCATAAATCTGTCGATCATGAACGAAGGGGTCGTATGTCTCTTGATCGACCGCAAGAACGCCCTGGATTTATTTATCACGAACAAGAGCGTCGCGCGTCTGTTGACCACGAGCGACAGCGTCGTGAATCTGTCGATGGCGAACAAGGGCGTCGTGCTTCTATCGACAGGAGACACGATCGCGAGTGCAACATGTCGATTGGACGTCATGGCCATTATGGATCTGTTTCTAGGACGTTTCCTCGTCCACCAGTTTGTGCTGTGTCCTTCAGGCCTCCTACCACAGGCCCCCAATCCCGTCCTTGCACATCTGAATATGTGATGGTTCCCCGTCCACCAGTGTGTGCTGTCTCCTTGAAGCATCCTACCACACCCCAATTCCGCCATCGCAAATCTGAATCTGCGACGGTTCCTCGTCCACCAGTGTGTGCCGTCCCCTTCGAACATCCTACCACGGGTCCAAAATCTCGCCACCGCAATTCTGATTCTGTGGCGTTTCCTCGTCCATCAGTCTGCGCTGTCTCCTCTAAGCTTCCTACCACAGGTCCTCAATCTCGACATCCTCATCGATCTTCGTTCGACTACGCAACTATTCACGATCATTCTGATGAACGCCAGCATCCCGTTTATGTTTTGCCTCCAACTGGTGCGTTTCATAGCTTGGTGCATGGATTATTCTAACTCTTTCATCTGTGACGTCTAGCTCCAGCTCCACAGATACATCTACCTCCACAACGTATCCGCACTGTCTCAATGGAGGCGGTTCGTCGCCTTCCTTTCCGCAGCCCCGAGGTTTCTTCGTTTGAAAAGTCCAAGCCGTCTGGGCTAGCCCGCTTCAATCCCTTCAACAAGCTGTGCTCGGCGACTTCGCAGAAGATTCGCCGCAAAACTGTTGTCAGAGCATGATATCCCTGGCACATCCCTATATTCATTGGTTTAGACTCATAGACGTCTTCCTTAAGATAGTACATCCATTAGAACATAGAAATATACCCTAGATATCTTGTTAGATTGTACTGTGTGTATCTTTCGACTGTGACTCCAGGCCTCGCTATAATCACACGGAAATGTCTTGGCATGTGTGTATATCACTTATTCCCATATAAAGCAATTCGCCGTAATGGCATCCAACCGCTTCTGCACTTGAATCCTTTCATACTACGCCGCCCTCAGCTGCTTGCTGTGAACTCTCCAAAAGTGCATGGCAGAACCAGACCCAGGTCCTTCTCTATCGACAAACTTCAGTCAAACAACAACTCCCAAGCACGACACTTCACCCCTTCCCCGTATTCGCTTTCCAGACCAGTTCCTTGCTGCATCACCTCATGGAGAGTCGTCACGTTCATCCATAGGATCTCCTGGACCTCCTATTTCACCAATGAAAGACCAGAAAGATCTAGGCGACGGAAACGGTCGTTTTCTTTCCAAAGATGTCACTTCTGGAATCTTCCCTGAGATATCTCCTTCGAAGAGATTATCATCGCGCAGCGTTGAGTTACGACGTAGGTCTAAGAGAATGAGTCAGAGCAGAGGCTTGTCTGCTCTTAAGGACCCTTTTGTCGCTGAGTTCGAACCTTCAGCTTTCTCGGATGAATATGACTTGTGTGAGTCCCATGCTTCTGCTTATATCTTAACACTGACGGTCCGCATTCACTGTAATGTAGCTCATGAGGGCAAGTACAGTGATTGTTAGTTTTGTGACTACTCATAAACATATCTATCCAGACCCCAAGATTATCCAGGATGTTCAGCGAGCCCTAGAACTGCAATCTCGAAGACGAGATCGCAAGTCATTCACCCCATCCCAGCCAACTGTTATAGAAGATCAAACCCTTATCGAGCTGCGGCAGGACACATCTTTCCAACACTCTCCTCCAGCTTCTCCACCGACTTTCACTCATCCCTCACGTCCTCCTCTGGACATTGACTTCAGCCCGTCTGTCCAGGCAGTTCCCCTTCACCCTGTCCCCCTTTCTTCGAATGCAGGTGCTACTTTAGATTGGACTGGGTCCCAGTCTGAAGAAGAAAGACTTGAAAAACGTTGGACATTGGGAAAACGTAAAGGCAAAGACAGACCCTCGTTTTCAAACAAAGCCATATTGGAAAAGCAAGACACTCTTTTTGCGGGTGAGCTCTTGGAGACGGTTGCCGCAGAATCACATGCTTACGTTGCTGCACAGATAGGATTTCTAGAATCAGATCGAAAGCGAAACAGCCCACATTCCGAAAGGCAGCTATTGTTAGCGACCAATTAGGACGGAGGTATAACCTTGTGTATGACTCCATGTCGAACGAGGACCCCATCAACCTCGCGAAAGCCGCGCGGTGGTACGCCGATTCTGATCCGGGCGCGCAAACCTGGTTAGATAGCGCTGAGCCACTCACTTGGCTCAAACACTTATTTAGCAAAAATGGCGGCAAACGGTCGAAATGGCATCTGTCGGCTTTGATTGTGGAAGAATATGTTAAATCCAATAGGATAGATTATAGTTTGCCTATCATTCGTGACGATTCTACCTCTGCTCGTAGGGGATCACTCCCTTCAGATGTGTCTATCCTTCCGTCATATCCTTTTCATCCGATCCGATCCTCCCCCTCGCTCCATCATTCTTTCGGAGATTCACTCAGAAGAATACGCTCCTCAGATGGCCAAATTTCATTCGAGCCTAGAATTGACTCTACGCGCAGCTCGATAGACGGCGATTACAGGAGCGCTGCTGAAAAGAGTCGAGGATTGCGATATGTCATCCCAGCCCTCACTGATCCTGCCAATAGTATCACATCTACCACATCCCCTTACCGTCGTCAGAGCTCTCCAGGCGGACTTTCACCAGCTAGCAGTCGGCGCCTTCCGTTTGCTCAACGGATACGGCGTCGGCAGGTGGATAGTGATGAAGGATCTTCCTCTATCATTCACTCACAATCGGACGACTACAGTGGGTCTTTTGCTGGCGTTACTGGACATCGTCGCAAGAGGCGCGATCGGGGGCAGCCTCATGCGCCTTCATCATATCTACTATCACCCCGTGAATCAGGAACAGAGACCAATGCTCCCGGCCAGACGTCGGATGTACACGAGGCAACTTCTGCACCTATGGAGGATCCATTGCCCTCTGAGCCGCCTTCGGAACGTGGGATTGAACTGCCACCTAACATGCCTGAATCTGAGGTTTTCACCACTCCACCGCAAGCAATTACACGTCAGAGACTAATTCACCGGATGTCCCTCCCTGTCCCCGACGTAGCCAAGAAGCCAGAACGAAAGCAGCTCGAGGAGGCCGAGGAGGAAGAACTAGAGCATGAGTATGAGAAGAAGTTGCAGTAAGCGTTTCTTTTCCCTTCGAAGATGTCTATGGCTTAAAGGGCCGATAAGGACGCTAGATGAACTCAAGGCGCAGAACCATCGGGTACGCCAGAAATTACAAAGGATCGCTGCAGATGTCCGGGAATACGACAACCTGCAAGCGAGGATGGCCAATACGCACGGTATTCCTCATCAAGGTCTACCTGTAGAGCTTTTAGACGCTTTCAATCAGGATCCTTCATCGGTCACTGGCGGGACCCGGGAACGGAAAGGATGGAGGGCCGTCGAGGACGTACACACTCGCATTCTTCGTCAACAACAAATTTTCAGGATGTACCTTTCTGTTTCCGAGAAACATGTGGTGCCAGATAGCTTGCTCGATGAGCCCATCTCATCGCTTATGGATACATTGGGCAAACTGGGTCATAAGAGGGAGACTCTGGCGCACAAGCAGTTGGAAGTGGCTAGCGCTCTGGCCAAAGTCAAGAGTCTGCATACCCAAGTCAAGAACGAGTACAACAATGCCCTCTCGCACACCTCCATTGCTTACCCAGAAGTATGGTCACATCATCAATAGTTTTGCTATACCCGCTGACCATCTTCTAGCTCTCCCAAATCATCGCACTAGAAGAAAGCTACAAGGATCAATACCAACATATCTGGGAGTTCGGAATGGATGCTTTGACGTTCATCCTCGACAACGTTGCGCCGGTTTGGAGGAATTATGGGAGGACCATTGGCGAAGATATCACAGATTTCCTCATTATACCCTGGTATCGGAACGAGTTCACGGGAGAGCCGAAGCGGTATGATATCTTGTCGTTTCCTCGCCGCTCCATCCGCCATTGGTTCACACTCTTTTTCCTCTTTTTGTCTACATTCGCCATCACCTATCTGCAAATGCGCGCAGCCATTTTATGTACATCCATGTACAGGCATCCCTGGATCGACAATTCGGGGTTTCGATGGTTGATCATGCCGTGCATATGGATCGCTTTCCTCATTCATTGGTTTGCTGTTCTCTTCGAGGTTGGAATCATTATTCTAGAGCTTAGAGTCGTTGCTTGGTGGTTGGGTTGGTCGGTAGGCCTTCTTACCTGAGCCTTTATTCTGTCTATCGTTTATCTAGGATCTTGGACCCTGGTCATTTGCATCACTGTAATCACATATCACACGCACGTATTCGATGTACACGTAAGTTATCTTGCTAATGATATTTAGCTCGGCTTGGCATCGGGAATCGGTACATTACTTGTTTGCTCTGTTGCTGAGGCTTTAGGGTATGGAACAAATACCGCGTGAGTCTTTGAAGCAATAGTGGACTGATGTCGGGTATTATCTGGAGTGTGTGAGGTGCTGCCCTGCCTCGAGTGCTGTGCGGAGGATTGGTAGGAGTACCGGCTACTGCCTACTTGCGGTATATCATCGATAGCGCAGCCGGCTTCAACACACGGTCGGCAATATCCTAGCCATCGTGATCGATGTCAGAGAGTAATCCCACGGTAAAAGTATAAAAACCTACTTCCACCCATAATTAGAGGGACATCTGTTTGACCGCACGCAAAGCAAGCTATCTTGGGCAACGAAGGCGTGGATTTTGGCTGTGTTTGGCGCCTTTTCTTTGGTGGAGGTGGAGCTGGCTCTGCGCTTTGTTGCACATGGCCGGCATTTTGAGGTGGAGGTGGAGGCGGAGGCTGAGACTGTGCCTGAGACTGAGACTGTGACTGTGACTGAGACCGGGGTTGAGGTTGAGGCTGGGCCTGGGCCTGAGGAGGTTTACGAGGTGCTGCTTTGCGTTTTGGTTTGTTGCTGTTCTCTGCGGCTGACCTGAGAAGCTTCGTAGAGAATGTAGGAACTGCAGCCTGTGAACCGTTAGAATCAAGTGAGATCTGTATGATTGCAGTGCACTGACATTTTGAATTTGGGCTAGTAGAGAGCCCTCTGCTATTCTATGTGCCAAGTAAACTCGTCGAGGTTTATTCTTGGTGAATCATATATATATATAAAGGATTCTACTTCACAAGGACTGAATGCTCACAATGGATTCGAGAATCTTGCGGTTTTCTTCTAACTTCTCTTCAGAGCCGATCCAGCGTAACACAGAATCCCATATGGGAGCACCCGCCCCGGTGAAAATAAATGTGACCACTTCTTGAGGTTCTGGTGTCTTCGGCTGAAGTTGTCCATCGGGTTGAGACTCCAAAACTACTTTAGTTTGTTGTTCAAACGGGACACGCGTAGACAGAGTTATTTCGCCATATGATCCCATTGACCCCGGCACCGGGGTGAAAGTGCCTACAGCAAGACCACGAGGGAAAATCCAACGGTCTGTGGGACACTCACGGAATTCGATTACGATATCAAAATCCTTGGTTTGATACACCGGTTGAATAGGCGACGCTGCACCACTTGCCACAGCTGTTGCTGTGTTCTGCGCCTGTGCGGATTGCATTGAAGAAGCACCCAGGTCCACCCCGGATGAAGATGCGAGTTGCTGTATCGTTACGCCAAGGTTTTTGAGTTGGTCCATGGATGCGTTTCCTGAGGCAGCTAGGTGTAATAAGTTGGCCAGTGTCGGATTGGAGAGGGCTGCTGCATTCACTTGGTTGATAAGTGTCGGTGGGATACTTGAAGAGTTTGGTAACGGCGAAAGGAGGGGAGTAGAAGACGATCCTTGTGACGCAGAGACAGAACTAGTAGCACCTGGTTGCTGCGTA